ATTGGTTTTGAAGCAAAGGAAAAATGCAAAAAAGAGCCAAAACAAAGATGGATTAGATCAGAATGGATTACGAATGACGAACCGGGGTTGATTTTCCTCACTCTTATTTATATTTTGTAGAATTAACATGCCCCAGGAACTGTTCAGACTGTGAAGAGGGGATATGTCTTGAGTGCGACGATGGTTTTGCTCTTAAAACGTTTCGCAACAACAGAACAGGGTGTATACCGTGTGGCCGACGTCTTAAAATGAAGGATCCTGCTTCATTCCTCCAACAATGCATCAACGGTATGTTTAAAAATCGGTCGTTAATAGCCAAAATCTGACCATTCTACATTTATTACTCGACAGATAGTTTTTTTGAAAGACCCGTTACTGTAACGGTATACTTGCAACGATATACTTTATCTCAACATACATCCATATGATTAAATATATATTTCCCCAAAAAACGCCTTGAGCAGACGCGCATGTCCCAAACACTTATCTGCACTTTTCTACACGTGTCTGAGCCGATAATTCACTTTGATATGTTGATAACTTTAATGTACATCCAGGGAATACGTTGACTTAATATTTTGCTTGATTTGTCTTATTTACTCAGATTGTTCCAGAAACTGTTCAGTTTGTGATAATGGTAACTGCCAAATGTGCGACCCTGGATTCTTAAAAGTTCAAACGAGACTTTTAAAAAGAACAGTCTGTGTTCCTTGCGGTCCTCGAATGAAAAGAAATTGGCCGGACGTTTTCGTGAAAGAATGTACAGAGTCCGGTAAGTATGTCATATAGTTTCAAATGAGTTCATGGTCTAGAGCGATCCTCGCAAGCTTTTTTTACCCTATATGACCTGAACAGGGTTCACGCATGTTCTGTGACGTAAGCCAAGAAACAAAAGCTGCAGGTTTTACCTATGGACCTAAATTTTTGACCGTTCGCGCCAAAGTCTTCGATGTAAGTAAAGAATCGCTATTTGTACTCGACTAGAGAAATATAGCAAATATTGGCCACCTAGCTTGTTAAATGACTTTTTTGCGCCGTGCTAATCTACTTGTTGAATCCAAAGTATTGGTTTTGAGGTAAAGGAAAAATGCAATAAAGAGCCAAAAGAAAAATGGATTAGATCAGAATGGATTGCAAATGGCAAACCCAGGCAGACGAGTGAGGTGTACTTTCTTTGGACTCCGTAGGTTGTGGACGAGGATGCGCTAACTGTACCTCCCCTGGCCTTTGCTCCGAATGTGAAGGAGACCAGAAGCTTTTTACACCACCAGGCAGTAACATCACAAGATGTGTTCGCAGATGTCCGCTATTTTACAAGCTGGAGAAGGGCGCGTCACCTCCAACATGCGAATTCCAGCATAAGGGAGGAAAACCAAACAGACAGAACGGTAGTAAGTGATTGTTTCAGATTGTCGATTTGAGTGAAGAGATCAAGAGAATATTATATACTTTTGATGGTTCTACTGTACTTGTCAGATTTGTAAATCAATAAAAATATCTTCTGGGTAAGTTCATGTAGCTTATCAGCACTACTGGTATTCGACAGCACTGCGAAGGAATGCCAGAACCTCTGCGTAAACTCAGCTGACTGTTAGTTTCTTCAAATATGCACATCCATTTAAGCATGTTCTCTTTTTTCATCCTTTAGAGTGTGGAAGAGGCTGCGAGCAATGTACAGAAGAAGGAGTTTGTGAAAAGTGCTTTAAAGAATTGCAATTTTTAAAACTACGCGATCGCACAATTTGCGTCCGAAAATGTCCATCAACTTTAAGAAAATATTTCGACCCAGAAACTAACAAAATGATCTGCGGGAATCTGCGCCGTGGCAAAAAAGGTAACTGAGCAAAATGATAGTTCAGTTTCTTCGTTTTTTTTCCTTATTACGAAAAAGTCGTTGATGGCCAAAATATGAAAACTCGTAGGAAATTGGTCGATGTAAAGCCATTTCCATGCAGGTGTCATCCCATAGACAACACAACCAGTTCGCTTGGATCCAGTTTTAAAACTGACATAAAAATTATTTTTCAATTTTCTTTTGTCTTACACTCTATTTGTTTTGTTTCTTTGAATGCATTGTCCATCACTAAGGCTACACACAAAACCTAATTATTCCCGTTCTTTTACTTTATTCTTAGGAGGAAGAAAGAATCCTTTGCTGTCCGACATTTAAAAGGCAGGCCTTTTGGTCCTGTATACTTTTTTCTAAGGGTGTTTTTATCAAGATGATAAAACTAATTTAACATTTTCCTAACTGACAAAAGCTGCCAGGCAAATGTCGTTGGAGGTCTTGGCTACTAACAGAAAGAAGTTGGCATAAAGTTAAAGTGAAGCAAAATTACAGCCCCCTCACTTGTTGTTTTAGTTTGATCGAAATAAAACTCTCAACTACAAGGTTTAAATATACTGATTACATCCTAGCTAAAGAGGTATTTTTTTTCTAGAGTTAATGTAATTTCTACTCACTTGTTAATTTTTCTACAATACGCATTCCTGCAAGAGAATTGTCTAAAATTTGTTGACATTTGAGTATCTTGTAAACCACATCAACTAAAGATACATGTGAGTAGTGCAGGTGATATATAAGGTGACGAACAACACACTGTAACTATGTTTTTCTATGTTTGTACCATATTAACAGCCAAATAAATCATATGAATAGCTGAATGCAGTTGTGTTGGTTAGCAATACCCATAACTACCTATAGCAACATTATTCGAGAGTTTTCTGAGGTCACCCTCGCTGGTCACGTTATAAAGACGATAGCGTGAGTCAAATAATTAACGCAAGTTTGGTGAATCCTACCCTGTAAGCACTTCGAAACTTCTCCTACTGGCCTTTCCATGAGTTAAAAATTCCACCTGGGAACGACGGAAAAGAAATACGCTATTCTCTTCGAGAAATTATCCGTATCCACTCAAGCATCTGAACCGTTCGGTGAAGAATCTATTATTCAATTTTGTAAACTACGTAGTGGCTGGTAGTGGGCAGTGGGCACAGTCCATGCAAAGCTGTAGTCCACTGTCCAAAGAAACTTAGCCGCTTCCAGCATATTTCCTACCCCGTCTTTACCATAGAAATTCCATCCAGTTAACATTTGGTGGGTCATAACTGTTAAATATCCTGACCAAATCATAACAGTTTAATAGGATTCTTCTCTTGCGGCAAATGATGTCCGGTGTAATCGTTCTTTAGCACTCTGTTTGGCTGTCGTTCCAGTGTTGTTTTAATGTCTTTGAGCGGTTGTCTTGTGCAGACGATAGTTATGATCCAGAATACCACAAACAGGAAAAACAAAAGCGCAGAAATATCAATCGCCGTCGCTAATTCAAGAGCGACCATGTTGACAGACGAAGAACGTCCTAATATGTAGGAGCGGCTACCAAGCTCTCACTTTTGCGTGACTGAAAGTAAGCTTACACGACCTTACGATTTGTGAACAAAGTGAACATAATACTGACGATGACTAAATATATTTTTTTAGATAACGTCTTGTAAGAGATATTTAAAAGTATTATCCTGATCTCAAATTTGAAGAACGAAATGGATATCTTAGAGAATTTTCTGTGAGATCCATTTAGCATCACCATAACAACGGAAACTGTAACGCAAGTGTAACATGCCAGTGTCTCATTTGTTATCAAGATAGGTCGTCGTTCGTCATTTCAACGCCAAACGCTCTACGGGAATCGTGTGACAGGTCCAATGCACTGAGCGGCCTTTCTAACTCATCTATTCCCCGTTTATAAGCTACATCTTGGCCGTTTTAACATGGGACTTGGCCATGGATCGTCAAGAAGAACCGAGGTCTATAAGACGAAGAATTATGCGCAACAGCATATTCATTTTTGTCGGATTTGTTTTGATTGTTCTCTGTTTCGTTTTCTTGGGAATCGCACAGCAGCGCCAACATATAACCTCAGGACACTGTAGCGACTGTAACAGCAAAAAAACTCCCAAGATATTTCGACTTCTAGCCGCGATTTGTTTTGTAGTTGGCTCGACAATAATGACAATTTTTTGGTGGCACATCAGAGCGATGAGAAGTTCTTTGATAATGCGCCAAAGACACATCGACTTGGAAGGATTATTAGCAAACCACAATCAAACAGGTAGAAGAACATGCAGAGCATCTCTTGGAAAGAGAAACTGCGGTTGAAAACTTATACAAACGGTTGTGGATGTTGGAGAACGTGACGAAAATCACACTTGCTTAATTTGGAACGTAACAGATGTCAACCATCCAATTGGTTATTAACTAATGTATGCATGCTTGCATATATTTCGATGTGGATATTATAAAAATGTCTCACAAGCTTGTTTACTTTGGTTTAGACCTTTAAGATCAAGCATTGGGAGTTCTCAGTGTATCTCCGTAACACAAGTAGAGCATCCGAACGCGAAATTATAAATAGCTTGTACTGGAATCCTTACAGAATTTCCATTTACTTGCTTTGTCCTATTTGCGAGACAAATATGCGATTTTCTTCTCTGAGCTGTAAATGTTTTTAGCCGTAAGCTGTTTGTTGATTATTTCTCCGTGGAAAAAGAGTTCTCGTTTTTCGGGGGCATAAAGACAATAGGCAGATCATGGGGAAATATTTTAGCGAAATAATTTTTTTAACGAATTAGCTATGTTCGTTGCGAAAGTTAAATTTTTTTTGAGGCGAATTTTTGTTCAGTTGCTCTGAAGGACAAGTAAACACACACACACAAAAGAAAAATTGGAATTTTGCGATTAAACCTCGAAAACAAAGAAATAAACTTATATTTGTGGTTGATTTATATTGTAAGATATTAAAATTATTATACCTGATTTGAGGTTTTTTTTTTTTTTTTAATCGTTTGCTTATTTTCTATTGATTCATTGATATTTCCTCACCATTGCACGAATCTTGTAAGACAGAAGCACGTTCTCTCGAATGCCCGTGCGCGGATCTCGCGGGATTCTTGTTCTCCCCGCCGATCGAGCGCGACATGATATAAATAGGTTTCAAATTTCAAGGACGCCAGACAGGAATTTTCCATGCTCTGGCGCGTTCGACTCGCCACGAACATTTGTGTCTTTTAAAAACGATATCATTCTCTTGGATCCATCTTCCAGGCCAATGGAATCTGACCAATGATTTCCTGTCAACTACGAAAATTCAAATCGTCTTTTGGATGAACTAATGGATATGGAAATTCGCGATCAGAACTCTTAAATTATCAATAGGGACGAAAGACGTAGAAATTACGCGAACATTTCAACGTGAAAAATGATTTTAGCGGATGGGACACTAGCCATTTACATTGCCGCTGGCTTAGCTGGATTTCTCGTACTACTGTGGTGTTGTGCTTTATGCGTTTGCAAGGGCCCTTGTCGGTCACTCAACGAACCAGTGAAATCACCTTTCGAAATGCATATGGACCCTGCGTCCAGAGACACCGCATTACGAAACAAGTATGAAGCGTATCATTATCATCTGATGGTAAGTCATGGAACATTTTAACTGTCTCGGTGTTTATTTCTCTTAAAACATTTCATAGAAATATATTTTTTTTCGAAACGAGAAGACATTTGCGTTCGTACTCCAGAGACCAGCGCGAGAAGCCAATTCATGCTGTTTATTTTATCTGATAACATTTTAACTTATTCTCTCAGCGTGATGTTATGATAGACAATATTCTTAGACACGATAAATGCAAATTTGTGTTGAACACGGCATATCATATAGTCATTTCTTTCCAGAGAAAAAGTCGATAAAGAAAACGCTTTTACATATGAACTAGCAACATAAAATCAAAACCTTGCATGCAAATAATTATTCTAAAAAGTCTCGGCGACGACAAGAAGAGCTTTGAACTTTCATGAAAATAGACAGCGCCGGGGGCTCATTTTTCAGCTTCGATTGCAATATAAGCGTAACGTCGCGCTTAAAACTTGCTCCATGTATTCAGAAATCATTAAGATGTAAATTAGATATTTAGCGGGCAGGGAAGGTTCGAGTTCCGGAAGCAAAGTCACTGAAAGAGACGGAAAGGTATTTTGTATTTAGTCAAGAATAATTTGCTCCATCAACCTGGCGAAAATGTATGATTTAGGAAAAATGCAGTCACAGTTATGGACATCCAATAGCTGGTTACTCTCGCCAAAACATACAACGAATTATTTGCAGGAATCAGTAGATTGTTGCTTTTTTCCGTGACATACAAATATAAAATACCTAAAACCATCTGTCTGGGAGGCTTAAGGGGTTGAATAACCTTGCATCAGCGATACCTTTTGAATCAGTCAACAATTCCTTATTCCCTCACTAATTAGCCTTCATACAGGCATCCCTTAAACCAACTGATAGGAAATAGTGACGTTGGCTGAGCGTTTTTTTCATTTTTTGCCCTAGTTCTTTCGCGTTCAACAATCAATCTACACGAAAAAACTTTAGGAAGGAAGAGTAGGAGAGTATGTAGTGAATGGGGGCGGTTTCCATTTAATTTTTTCAAATATTTTAATTCCACATTTCACGTTCAATCATTCAGGGGCCTTATGATAAGTTATTAGTACATTGCTGACGAGGAAGCAAAAAGAAATATATACAGGATTTTTCAAACGTTTTTAACTTGTTTGATTCCGCATCAGAATACACTGACTATCATTGTAGTTTGATGTGCAGGCATTCTGCGCCATGGAGTACAGTCGAAAACGAATATACAATTTTTTCAAATTCTCAGCCTTAAGAGTGATTTTAGTATTAACATGAGCGAATTATATTAATTTTTCTTTAGACACCAAAAACCCCAACTCAACAGCACCAAGTTAAGTTGCCTATACAATTGGTTCCCACACCAATTTCACAGGGAAGTGGATCACCGATTGCATTTGACTTCGGAGCTGTCTTGAAGATGCAGGCTGCGGACAAGGCGAACGCTAAAACAAGGGATAGTCAAGTCAGGGATCCGCTGATAGATAAAGAACAAGGAGATTCATCGTCTGATTCAAACAACGAGAACGTCGAACTCAAGAAATTGAACACCATTACGGTGGATGTACAAAGCACAGACGACAAAAAATCGGACAAGCCTCTAATACAGGAGGAAAACAACCTTTGAGATTTTATTAACTAACCGTGAAGAAATCATGAACAGTTTCTTCGGTGCTTGTGGTTGAGAAAGTTGTCATCATAGACGAAAAGAAAAGTTTGCTGAAAAAGTGTGATCCATTGGAGAAACAATTCAATTGACAATGCTAGCTATTGATATTGTTTTACTTATTCTTCGTTGACGTTATCTCGTCCGTGACAAGTATCAATGTTTTAGCGGCTTCGTGCTTGTCATACAGAGAACCCCCAGTTTGAGCGGACAGATCTATTCTAATTCGGTCTAAGAAATTACTCAAGAAATCCTCTTTAAATATTCATGTTTCTGCTTATTTAAATGTGAGGTATATATAAGTGTCTGATGTGTGATCATAATAATGATAAAAAAGAAAATTGTCGCTACAAATTTTACGAGCATGGTGCGATATACTGCTTTTAAATGCGATCCTTGTCATTTTTCTCTCTTATTTTTCGATCTTGATCACTGTACAGTGAAAATCGTCTGGAACCCTTGAAAGATTGGATTCGCTAATTTTTTACCGCCAAATTGATTTTTTTTTTTAAGTTAATGCGCTAATTATCATAGTTTACATTTTGCACCCTCTAAACATGGACTGGTAAATGATGGAAGACTTACTCTTATTTAAGTAAAAATAACAAAACACTTAAAACTCTTTCGCGAATTTTATCACTGGGAAAGAGTCGAATACTTTATCAAGATTAGACTCTTTAGACATGCAATATTGCACACAGTTATGACTGTCCTCCAAATATCATAATTTCCAAGATGTGCGTCAAAAAACACGGAAGTATTCAGCTCCCAAGGACAGCATTCAAGATTCTTAAATGATGACTACTGCTTGTCTTAAAAATGTAACTGAAATGCAATCTCTAATCAAACTGACTGTAGTACCACGCAAATAAATCACTAAGAAAGTATTTGTAGAGGGATAGATTTCATTGAGTGCATGAGTAAAATAAAGCCGAACTGCTCCTTAGAAACGGAAATCCATAAGATGTTTTCGACTATGAGTCTCAAACACAAAAAGTGAATTTCTGAATGTTCTACACAATTTTATTACATTTGTGGAAGCTTATTATGATTGATGGTGCCCAGCAAAGCTGGTAGCCTCGCATAATAAAAGTAAGCACCCATACACACATGCATCTGGAAAAGTGCCCACAATCTCAAACGTAATAGCACAACGTTTTAGATTGTTTTCCAGACATGTTTTCGGTCAAGATTTGGCACACGTTGCGTACTCTACACAAATACTGTAACCATGACTTTTAAATATATGGTTATCAAACTAGTAAAGTATATTTTCCATGTCACCATTAAGAGTAAAAATATCACACATACACGAGCTGTTATTGTTTAAAAAAAAAAAGTCACAAATCTAAACAATATATTTTTCTAATGAAAACATCACACTAACCTTGAGCTAAGCAATAATTGAGTTGTTTTTGTTGAGAGGGTCACTGGTATACACAAAATATGTTTTTGCATGTGTCTTATTCGCTTGCCCCTACTTGACTTACGCAACGATTGATATCGGCTCACGCGCTGGCGCGTGAGGTATTTACGAAAAAAAAAAATGCATGAATCGATCAGCAGCTTGGGTAAGAACCGACTCGAACTTGAGTACGTATCGACTCAAACTTAAGTACCGTCTGCATTTAAGGACGAAACGTCTGCATTTAAGGGTACGAAACGACCGGACACCGACGCAAAAATTCTTAAGGTAAACAAGCACAAGAAAAGTGATAAGATTGCAGTTGGTTTTCGTTTCGCATCTGATTGGAAAAGACAGTGGCGCGAGCTATCTGGATCAATCATGGAAAGTAATGAAGAATAACACCGCAATCCTACGTTTATTTCTTCACGAAACAGAAAATTGCTCTGGAATCAGGACTGGGTTGCAAGCCCTATCAGCAATTTAAGTCCCTTTGGACGGACTGTCAGCATTGGCACGGCTTCAACCTTACATTCGGGAGCCTCACTGACCCAAAATTTCTTCATCAAAGTAGCCAATATCACCTTCATCTCCATCAAGGCAAATTTGTATCCAATGCACATGCGCGAACCCACCCCAAATGGAATGTGTGTGTAAGGTTTCACGCCTGTTCGGCCCTCTGAAAAATTAACAAAAAAAACTTAAGGACTTAACAAACCACTCACCACATAGCAACGGTTTAAAAATCTCATTAACTAAGCTGTCCTTAACTCTTACCTTCCTCATCGAATCTTGCGGGATCAAAGTCGTCGGGATTTGGCCAATATTTGGAAGTACGCTGTAATGAATCAATGGGCAAAATCATAACTGTATCCTTGGGAATAAGATATCCCCCGATAGTTATATCTTCAATTGGAGAACGGCCTGTCACGTGAGCAGGGGGGTGGCGCCGCAGCGATTCTTTAATGACTTTTTCAAGGTACATGAGATTTTCAACAGTATCCCATGTCAGCTCAGTACCATCACACAACACAGAGTTTATTTCTTCTCTCAGTTTTGCTTGGATTTCAGGGTTCTTTGCCAGCTCATAGAGGGTCCAAGCAAGAGCGACACTGGTAGTCTCGTGGCCAGCCACCATAAAGGTGAACACCTAAAGGAGAAATTGGAAGAGATTTATAAAGAATGAAATTAATGCCTCGTCGGTCATTGAGAAATGTTTCGATTTGGCACAAACGTGGGGTAAGGAAGAAACCCGAGTCCCCGACGACGATTTCAATCTCAAATCTAATACAATGAAGATGCTTCTGAGCCGCAGAAAACTTACAGGGTTTATGCTAGAAATTCAGACCAAAGAGTGTTCAGTAGGATCCCCTTCTTGTTTACTTTTTTTCAAATTTTGAGCATCCATATTTCAAGAAGGGGGCCCAAGACAGCGGGTATTCCAATATATATTGTTTCAACGTACTTGCAGAGTACAGACAGTGAGAAAAAAAAAAGAGAATGGCAATTGAGACAGTAAGAGGCTTTACTGCCAAGTACATTTTTGAATACTTTATCAAATAACGACCCCTTAAGAAAAGTACTTATGCTGGAAACAATTCTTTGAGCTACTTTGAATGCCTTGTTGTAAGTTTATGCATCAGACACTTTTGTAACGGGATGAGTGACTATATTTAAACAATCTAATGTGTTACCTGGCCCTCCTAAATCTTACCTAAGACATTTAAAGATGAAGTTACTGGGTGGTTCTAAAGCAGAGTCATACAAGTATTCATTCCATTCATTAAATTAACAAAAACAGTGCTGCACAACCAAACCAAATAACAACAAAGAAAAAAACAAAACAAAATAAACTTTTTTGCTGCAATATAGCCTTAATTTATAATTTGTTGTTGTTGAAATGATAATTCAAGATATGTAATTTCTGCACCTGACTCCTTAACTCCTCATCATCCATGACTGAATTTGTTTCCTGATCATACATGTCCATCAGAACATCAAGGAGATCTTTTTTCTCTCTCACAATTCCAGCTTTTTTCTCTTTGCGGCGCTCTTTGATCATCTTTTGAAGAGAAAAAAAAAACCTGATAAATAAGAAATTTAAACAGTAATCTTTGCTTGACTTGAGTAAGAGAATTAGTCTGACTGAGGAAAAAAATAGGACTGGTTTAGTCATGATCAGGGTCATGCAATTTTCTAACAATTATCTAATACCTGAACAAAGAATTTTAATGTTAATTTCATCGTTGAAAGACCAGTTTGCAAATGCAAGGAGCTATAGTTATACACCAAGTATTTTGCAATATTTTCCATTAAAATAACATAGCAATGAGAGAAAAACATGTTATCTACTTTTAAAAATATTTATTACATAATTGAAAAATTAAGGCTTCTAGTGCACCTTAAGTTAGCTAATTCAGAGGTACTAATCAAACTACTTTTTGAATCCAGGCAGCAGAAGAGCAACAAACTTATGGTTTCACATTTGGCCATGGTCATGAAAGAAGTAGCCTGTCTGGGTTAGGCCACACAGATAATGCCTGTAAAACTTTTCCTCAAAAAGGTTCTACTGCCCTCTTGGGACTTCCCAAGACAACCTTGTTAAAAAATGTTTTCAATTTGGGGTTTTAAGTCATATGTGAAATTTCATAAGAATTATGATACCTGGATGAAAAGAATCTGTTGGCAAGTCATTTCAAATTGAATTTGGTCACATTGCCTGCAAATGTTCCATTCCCAGAATGCATTCATTGATAATTAGAAATACCACACTTATGCAGGTACTTATCACCTGCAGGCAATCCACAAAGAACCCACAGGCATGCAAGGGATTTGTTGCAAAACTTTGCCAGAGCCTGGGGGATTAGGGTTTTTCAAGAAATACAGATTGAATAATTAAAAACAATTTAAGTAAGAGGCAAAATTTACAAGTACTGTAAAATTAAGAAAAATGCTGTAACATTTGCTGCATAATGACAAATTGAGGAATAATTGTGTCTATAAGTTCTACTTATATCCACTGGGAAGTGATGCAAGAGTTTTTGAAAGAATCTACTCTATGTGCACGGGCATTACTCTTTCCTAAAAATTCACCAGTGTGCTTATTTTACAATGATATGCTATATAGTGTCAGATATACCTAATTTTTTGACTCGATACTTATTCAGTTTGAGTTCCTATCTGATATTGTAAATTTATTTCCTCTGTAACAGTAAACTTGTCCTATTAACAATATTACTAGATTTATAAGTAATTTGTGAATGCTTATGTAATAGTGTTGTTTTACTTCTAACATGCCACCCATTCAAGCTAACTGTGGGTGTATGAAAACCCGTAAATATGAATTCAAGTAATAAAGTGTATGTATGTATGGTACACACTAAGAAAAAATGCCTTCACACATTTTTTAATGGGACTTATTTATGCATCCAACTATGAAGATGATCTGTTACATTTGTTAGTCCATAGAAAATGACCTCTCCCTTGCTCCATAAATAGGATTCAAGACTTTGATTAGAACTGTTTGCTGTCATATGTTACTTCAATTTTATTATTTTATTGGTTCAATCTGATTGATGTAACCCAAATGGCTATAGATAAGCTAAGGTTTACCTAATAAAATTCACCTCCACCTCAAAAAAAAAACTGTAGATAGCAACTCTAAACATTAGAATCTTTATATACTTACATCTAACACTGTGTTGTCAGCTATCTCTTTCGCAGTCTTGATTCTCCTGTTTTCGCTTGTTGGCAGGTACTCAAAAAAGGGAATAAATGTCTTGCCCATGAGTTGTCTAAAACTCATTCCACTAATGACCAAATCCACTGCTTCAGAAACCTTACTCTCCCCTGCCAACACAGTGTTGAAGTTATAACCAAATGCAGATTGACCAATCACATCCAGGGTTAAATGTGTCAAATCATCATGAACTTCAACAGGATCTTTCAGCTTGGTGGACCATAGCTGGAAGCAGAATAAAATCACATGTAAGTTCCAGGACAATTTGGTTATATTGATAGAAAGGCTTCATGGCTATGAGCCAATTTCATTTGTGTGTAACAAGAATGTCCTCTTGATAAATCATTTATATACCATGTACATATTTGTCACTGGACAACCATGAAAACCAGAACTACCTGTCTCATGGATTGGGAAGTTGGCTACTCAACCAGCAACCCTGCTCCTTAGAGGGCATGGAGGGTGAAACTGGGCATCCTAACAGAACTAAAAACAATATTTGTCTTATGGTCTGTGGTGGACCCTTCCCAGTTACACAGGGTGAGACTGGACCTCCTGGTAAACGATCAACACATCTGTCAAAAGGTCTATGATGAATTTTTGCTAGTCAGTGCATTGTGACATACACTACACAAAGAACAGAGATAAGCAAACCTATCATCTGGTCAGTCACTGCAACAGATATGGGAGTAAGTTTGTCTAGGCCTGTCCTTGCCACTGATAACACCTCTATCTGCCAAGAATGTGCTGCTAGTCCAGCAAAAGCTGGAAGTACTTAAAAACTTTGCAAGCAGTTTCATAAAATGGTCAGTCAGAAAACTTGTATGGAGGAATCTGGCCATACCTAAATGAAACAGTCATTGTTGCCCCTGACTAACTGCTGTGATGGCATATTTGTCAAAAGAATCTAGAAACAAAGTGGCCATTAATGATTAAAATTAAAAGCCTATTAACTTGTTGAGAATATATTTTTGCTGAATCACTCACCTTAACAAGGTTATCAACATTTTCTTTGAAGATTCCCAAAAATCCTTTCAAGTATTTGGAAGTGAATGCAGGCCCAATCATTCTTTTCTGTCTAGCATGCGCCTTGCCATTTGATGCAAACAAGCCAGCACTTATACTAGGAATATTTCTTGCGACAAAGTCAGGTCTGTAAAATTTATGGCTATTGCTTGCCACAAACTTGATGAGCTCAGGATCAGCTATATACAGTAAACAGCCACCTACAGTTGTCGAAAAAACAAGAGATAAATTTTATCTTAATTCTTAATATATTTTTCTCATGATGCTGCCTTACTCCTGATGTAGATGGCTGTCACCACCACAAACTGCAAGGATTGGTTGGTTTCACCAACTGTGAATAGCCTCTTATTTCAATCTCTCATGAAGCCTTTTTCCCGTGAATTGTTCTTCTCCTTGATAGTGATGTAACGATACTCTGCACTGCCTATAGGTAAATGATCAATTAAAGTATATTGACCTTCTTAAGTGGAACCTGTAATTAGCAGTCTGCATAAGCGCGCCCACTCAGCAATCTCCGGGTGACCCAGGGGATGACCACAGATCACAGATCATATTTAGGATGCATTTCGACCACGGCGTCGGGAACTTAAGTCTCAAATATCACCTCGAACAGTGTGCGTGATTCCGGTATACATGATTAAATTATTTATACACGCACAGAAGTTTGGTGATGCATCACATAACTCAGCAGCCTCTTATATTTTAAATTACCTACCTTTCCCTACTGCATAACCTTGATGAGAAACGAACATCGGTCCATACTTTTCACTCCAAGAGCGTAGCACCTCCAGTTGATTAGATCGGAGAAAAGTGAAAACATGGCCGATTAACGGCCATCTGCCTGGAGGACTTGGAATCTTCTGTAGCGGAGACATCTTTTCTTCCACGAATTTATAAGCAAGCCATACTATCACAGCTGCGAATGGCAACAGCAAAATAGAGTTGGCAATAAGTGATAACTCCATATTTGAGAGATCGCTTACGCCTTTCTTCGATATTGCTTAAGTGACAATACAATTATTGTAAATTAACATCGCAAACGCACACTACGTCAGTTGGAAACCGAAATATTAGCGCAACTTGCTCAGTTTGTCCATATTGATCAGGGGTGGGGTCAGTCAGGCTCAACATAAACTTAGGGCTTATTTCTTATTATCGTTATATATTTTGAGAGGAACATGAGCTACTCACCGTAGTTTTATTTTTCATCGGAAGCTGCAAATATTATTTCCGAGTTTTTTTTTCTTTCCAACACGATCGCTACCTCGTAGATGTAATGCGTTTACTCGGATGGGAGCCATATAAGCGATCTCTCTACTCTCTCTGTAGCAGCTGACAGTGAAATGAAAGCGCACTGTCATAATTTCACTTTGTGACGAACGTTCAGCAAGCGAACTGAACTGAAATGAACTGAACTGTTTTGTTTTGTGTGATTATTTACTATCGTTTAAATTCTATTACCGTTTCATTGTTCATTCTTTTAATCATTTATCAGAGCGTATTTGATCGTGTTATTAGCCGCCTATCACGTTTAAAGCCTGTTGCTTACATAATCTCGGTAGTATCACATATCGGAGTATCGGAGTAAGTTGTCGGAGTATATCTATCTAGAGTTTTCTATCGGAGTTATTGGAGTTTTCGGAGTAACTGGAGTCACTTTCCCACGGAGTTTCTTTTACCCTTTTTACGCAGGATCAAACGTGAGTTTCCTTTGTAAATTTAATCGCCTTTTTTATCGTTACATTCATTTGTAATTTCCATAGAATCATTTCTGATTACGCAATCATAAATTTCCTTTTAGTTTTCACCGCATTGTAACACGTCGTACTCAATAAAAACTGGAATGAGACGGATGTGTATATGTGGTTGACACTCAACGTAATCCCAACACTTGGGTACGCGACAGTGAAAAGTTTGATCGACGTAAAAAGGTAAGCCGTAACTAGTTTAACGCGGAGCCTGAGCGTATCAACAATGGCATGCCGAAGCGACGTTCCGCCGAATACCAGCGAAACCAAGGAGTCCGGAGCTAGGAAGAAAAGAACAGTAAAACCTACGCCAAAGGCTCTACAAAACGCCATAGATAGTAAACGTAAAGAATTAAGTAAATCACGTAAAGAGCTCCTGAGGGTTATGCAATCGGTAGAGCAAAGTGCTAGTCATGAAAGTGAAATCGGAACCGCAGCGCGCGACCTCGCGACAGCGTCCGAAAATTTCGGAAGAATGATGAAAGAATTGCTTGACCTGTACGATCAAGACTTGTATGGGGACTACACGAAAGAGACCCAGCTTGTGGAGGAAAACGAAACTTTAAAACGCGCCCTCCTCCTTGTCGAAAAGACAAAAAAATAGATTAAGTAAGTCGAGCAAATATTTGGAGACACGATCCGTCGCTAGTCGTTCATCTCGCCTTTCATCTGCCTCAAAATCTAGCAGCACGATGGCTAGGCTACAGGCGCTGGCCGACGCTAAAGCAGCCAGAGAAGAAGCCCAGTACGCTCGACTCATAGCGCAAAAGGAACTCGAGCGAAGGACGCGCGACGCTGAAGCGGAACGAACTCGTCAACAGGAAATCGCACAGTTTGAGTCCGAGATGGCGATCTTAAGTGCAGATAAAAAGGCCGCGATAGCAAACGCTAAGCTCGAGGTTTTCGAAGACGCCCGCCGATTGGAGGAAAATTTGGAAAGAGAGTCACAATTACGGGACTTCGAAGTCCCCGAAATTAAAATGGAGCATCGCACATCACGATGGGTGTACTCTTCTCCCACACTTAGCCCCCCACGCGCGGAAAATGCAACGCGTTACGAGCGTGAACACGATCCGCGAGACACAACGGAGCCAACAAAACCACTATCACCGGCCGCCCCGAAATTTGAGTCCTTAAAAAAAATGTCTCAGCAGCCAAAACCTCCCGACCCAAACCCAGATCCACCAAGCCAGAATTCTACTAACGAAGATCGCAGAACGCATCAAAACACGGCCTTCAATCGCCGACCGCTGATGACTTCGACACCTTTCCGAGACGTCACCGGAAGCCAGCTAATCGACTCTCTCACCGCAGTGAATCAACAGATAGTCGCAGGCCTGGCTAGGCAAAACCTCCCAAAGTGCCAACCCGATGTGTTCTCTGGAGATCCTTCCCTCTTTCACCCTTGGAAGAGTGCCTTCAAAGCCATGCTGATAGACACCGATGTGTCCCCGATCCAGGAGATAAATTATTTGAGGAGTTTCACCAGCGGACCCCCACAGCGCCTGGTCGACAATTACAGAAAGCGGCAAATGCGCGATCCCGTCGCGTTGCTAAGAGATTTATGGGCGGAACTCGAGAAACGCTTTGGCAGCGCAGCAGTGATCGCCAACGCACTTCTGGAACGCCTGCGAAGTACAGCGACATTCAGCGAACACGAGCACGTCAAACTGCAGCAGTTTGCAGATCTCTGCGCGGACATCGAAAGTCAAGTGACATTTCTCCCAGGACTCGAATGCCTTGACTACCCAAGCGCTATTCAACCCATAGCTGAGAAGCTACCGAAATCCATCCGCGCTAAATGGGAGAAGGAGATCTCGAATTATTCCGACAGCCATCGAGGGATGTACCCCCCTTTCTCAAGATTCTCCAAGACCGTCCAGGAGCAAGCTAAGATTAAGAACAACCCCAATGTCCTCGCTGGTAAAGAAACGATCCCTTCCCAAGTTCCCCCGCAGAGACAGCGCGGAGGAAGAGACAATAGATCGTTGAAAACAGAAGTCCGGCCCCCAGCTGGAAACAAAGTAGCACCAGGAAAAAGCAAGATGAAGAGCAAACATTGCCCCTATCACGAGAGCGGTGCGCACGACCTGTCAGAGTGCGTTGCCTTCGCGGCGAAATCCCTGGAAGAGCGCACACAGTGGATAATGAGCGCTCGCCTGTGCCTTCGCTGTCTCAGCAACGCCCATATCGCGAGTGAGTGCGACACACCCATACAGTGCACCATCTGCGGGGACAAGCGCCACAGCGCCTTACTACACAAGGACAGGCGGCCAACCCCCAGACCGGATAACGGAGCTGTGAACCCCAAATGCACTACACTCTGCGAACCAACAGGAGGACTATCCTGTAGCAAGACTCTGCTAGTCGATATCTTCAACAAGCGCACCCCCCACATCACGATGCGCATCTACGCAGTCGTTGATGAACAGAGCAACAGCTCCCTCATCACCAGTGAACTAGCGGATGACTTAGGAGCAAGCGGTCCTTTAGAGAAGTACTTCCTGTCCACGTGCAGCGGCGACCGGGAAGAGAAATACGGGCGGCGATTGACAGGCGTCGCCGTACGTTCCACAAACGGAGCAGAGTTCACCCTACCTACCCTCACGGAGTGCGACAACATCCCCCAGGACAAGCGTGAGATCCCGACATCAGCTATGGCGAGGAGGTTCCCGCACCTATCGCTCATAGCGAACGAGATACCTCCGTTGGATGACACCGCTGACGTTCACCTGCTTATCGGCCGCGATGCACCAGAGCTACTTAAAGTGAGGGAATCAAGAAATGGCCCCAGTGGAGCCCCCTGGGCACAACGTCTAGCCCTCGGCTGGACCATCAGTGGCCAGCTCTGTCTCGACTTCCCCAGCGGTCCAGCCCACGTTCTTACCCGCCTGACCAGTCTGTCCACCGACACTCGGAGAAGGCAAGAAGGTGAAGGCAAATGCTATGAATTGGTCCCCTGCCCGAATCAATTCAAAGTCACGGATCCCCCCTTGGAGCGCGCCGCCGATGGTGTCTTCAAAACCACACGGCATGACAACGAGCCCAGCCTCTCCCTTGAGGACCGCACCTTCCTGGAGATCATGGACAAGGGCATACACAAGAACGCAAGCGGTAACTGGGAAATGCCCCTCCCTTTCCGCGACGAGCACCAGTCCATGCCGAACAACCGCGCCCAAGCCATGCGGCGCCTGCAAGGGCTCTTGAAGATGTTTGTCAGAAAACCGGAGATGAAAACGGACTACTTGGAGTTCATGGGGAAGATAATCGAGAAAGGCCACGCCTCTCCCGTCCCGCGCGATGAAGTACCGCCTTCCGCTGGCCGTTTCTGGTACCTACCGCACTTCGCGACGTACCACAACACAAAGCGCACCATTCGCGTCGTGTTTGACTCGAGTTGCGAATTTCAAGGAGTCTCGCTGAACAAAGCGCTTCTACCAGGGCCAGACTTGATGAACAACCTCATCGGTGTTCTAATACGCTTCCGAAAGGAGAATGTTGCCGTGATGTGTGACGTGGAGCAAATGTTCCATTCGTTCCATGTCGACCCTAAACACAGAGACTTCCTTCGTTTCCTTTGGTTCGAAGGAAACGACCCGACAAAACCCGTCACGGAGTACCGCATGAACGTTCACCTGTTCGGCAATGGACCGAGCCCCGCAGTCGCCACGTACGGACTCCGCCGAACAGCGGTAGATGGCGAGGAGGAGAATGGAGAAGAGACCAAGAATTTCATATGCCGCAACTTTTATGTAGATGACGGCTTAGCTTCGCTGCCAACCGCTGGACGCGCGATAAAACTAGTGAAAGGCGCGCAAGCCACCCTGGCCACTGCCAAGTTACGACTGCACAAAGTTGTTTCTAACTCCGTTGAAGTCATGGAAGCATTCCCAACCGAAGATCGAGGCAAAGATGTGCGTGACTTAGACCTGCGCTGTGACAGTCTACCAGCGCTACGGTCACTCGGAGTTTTCTGGGACCTAGAGACAGACACCTTCACCTTTGAAGTGTCCCTGCCAGAAAAACCGTTTACTAGAAGAGGAGTTTTGTCTATCGTCAACTCTGTATATGACCCGCTCGGTTTCGCGGCACCCGTCATGCTCGAGGGGAGAAAGATACTTCAGCAGCTGGTACTTATGGGAGAACGGAGAGCTGAGAACAAAACCCCCTTAGCTTGGGACGACCCCCTTCCCACTGTTATGATGAACAGATGGACGCGTTGGAGAGACTCTCTCGTCGAACTCCAGCACCTGTCCGTTCCCCGCTGCTACCACCCAAGAGAATTCGGGACAGTAACCAGAGCCGAACTGCACGCCTTCTCAGATGCTAGTCAGGATGCCATAGGAGTCGCTGTCTACCTCCGCCAGCTGAACGAAGCGAACGAGATCTCGACATCACTTGTCTACGGCCAAGCAAAAGTTGCCCCTGTTACCCCTACCAGCATACCACGACTGGAACTGTGCGGAGCAGTGCTAGCAGTCCAAGCAGCTCAAAGAGTCCTTAAAGAAATCGACATGGAGATCGCTGAGGTGATATACTACACCGATTCAAAGGTAGTACTCGGCTACATCGCGAATGAAAGCCGCCGATTCTACGTTTACGTGGCCAACCGAGTACAGCTAATCAGGAGTCTGTCTACCCCGGAGCAATGGAGATACGTGGAGAGTGAGCAGAACCCCGCAGACTTGGCCACTCGCGGAGTTCCCCCCGACAAGCTGATGGAATCGAGCTGGCTCAAAAGCCCAGAATTCCTTAAGAAACCGGAGACCACCCCTCAAACAGATGAAATGTTCACCCTCAGCACCAACGATCCCGAGGTTCGCAAAGGAGTGCTCAGCACTAAAGTCACCACTGATAAAGCCAAAGGGAAAGGCCTTGGAGCACCAAGATTCAAGAGATTCTCTTCCCTTAAGTCTCTGCAGCAAGCGGTCGCCAGGCTTATTGTAGTGGTCAGAGAGTTCAAACGCCGTAGAGAACCCAAAACAGGAAGTGTTCATCCCAGAAACGAACCGCTCAAGGTGTCAGACAAACTCAGACCCTCGACAGTGATTCGGATCCTGCGAACTGGGAGCAGACCCCCGACAGTTGAAGAACGAGATCAAGCCCTACGGGTCATAATCATCACCACACAGAGAGAAGCATTCGGCGAATTGTTGCAAGATGCCAGAACGGAACCCGAGCTACCCAGAGAAACACAGCAAAGCGTAAAGAAATCCCTCAAAGGTTCACGGCTGTATCACCTCGACCCGTTTCTTGACGCCTACGGGATCCTGCGAGTAGGGGGTAGATTAAGGAGAGCAGAGATGGAGTATGGAGAGAAACACCCAGTTGTGTTACCGAAGAATCACCATGCGTCGCAGCTGGTTGCAAAGCATTACCACGCCCAAGTACACCATCAAGGGCGACTGATTACAGGAGGAGCCATTCGTCAAGCAGGATTCTGGCTCATCGGGGGCCACGATACAGTGACCAAAGTCATCAGTGCCTGCGTTCCCTGCAAGAAGCTAAGAGGACCACCGTTAGAGCAGCGCATGGCAGACTTACCACGAGATAGAACTGAGGTCTGTCCTCCCTTCACGAACGTCGGCTTCGATGTGTTCGGCCCCTGGATGGTGCAAACACGCAAAACCAGAGGAGGAGCTGCAAATGCTAAACGCTGGGGTCTGGTGTTCACGTGCCTTAGCAGTAGGGCCATACACATAGAGGTCCTGGAAGCGATGGATACCAGCGCCTTTATCTGCGCACTAAGAAGGTTCTTCGCACTGCGAGGCCATGCCAAGCTTCTCAGGTGCGACCGGGGCACCAACTTCGTTGGAGCAAAAACAGAGCTCAAAGATGCATCGTCGGAGCTCAACGAGGAGAAAGTGAAGAAATTTGTAACGGAGAGCGGATGCGAATGGGAGCTCAACCCTCCCCACGCATCACACTTTGGCGGAGTCTGGGAACGGCAAATCAACACCATCAGACGAGTACTGGACGCCATGTTCGCTGAACTGGGCAGGACTCAGCTGACACACGAGCTACTTATCACGCTGATGGCTGAGGTAGTGGCGATCGTCAACGCAAGACCGATAACTGCACTACCATCTGATCCTGACGATCCACGACCCTTGTCCCCTGCAATGCTGCTGACGATGAAGACGCGTCCAGCAGGACCTTCCCCAGGTCAGTTCTTACAGCCTGACCTCTATGTACGCCGTCGCTGGAGGCGAGTACAGTACCTTGCCGACCAATTTTGGACAAGGTGGCGTCGCGAGTACTTGCAGAGTTTACAGCGCAGACCCAAGTGGACGGCGACTCGGAGAAATCTACGCGCAGGAGACATCGTTCTCTTGCGAGACGACGCCCAACGCCGCAACAACTGGCCACTAGGACGAGTTACGGAAGCGATAGAGAGTGAGGACGGGAGAGTCAGGAAAGCCAACGTTGAAATCGCCAGAGACGGAGAAAAGAAGGTCTACTTACGGCCTATAAAAGAACTCACCCTGTTGCTGCCAAACAACGGAACAGACGATGCAGACCCTAGCCCAGCATAGACCATGTGTACCAAGTAGCAAGGATTAACCTCGTAATCCTTGGGCGAGGAGTGTGACGAACGTTCAGCAAGCGAACTGAACTGAAATGAACTGAACTGTTTTGTTTTGTGTGATTATTTACTATCGTTTAAATTCTATTACCGTTTCATTGTTCATTCTTTTAATCATTTATCAGAGCGTATTTGATCGTGTTATTAGCCGCCTATCACGTTTAAAGCCTGTTGCTTACATAATCTCGGTAGTATCACATATCGGAGTATCGGAGTAAGTTGTCGGAGTATATCTATCTAGAGTTTCTTTCGGAGTAACTGGAGTCACTTTCCCACGGAGTTTCTTTTACCTTTTTTACGCAGGATCAAACGTGAGTTTCCCTTGTAAATTTAATCCCCTTTTTTATCGTTACATTCATTTGTAATTTCCACAGAATCATTTCTGATTACGCAATCATAAATTTCCTTTTAGTTTTCACCGCATTGTAACACGTCGTACTCAATAAAAACTGGAATGAGACGGATGTGTATATGTGGTTGACACTCAACGTAATCCCAACACTTGGGTACGCGACACACTTGATTTGACTTAACGTCTCTCTCCTTTTTTTTACACATATATCTTTAGTGAGTAATCACAAAACTTTTTAATGCTATAAAAATTGTGCTGTATCAGTAGCCCCTTGTTAACTCTGGAAGTCCCTTTGTACCCAGTGCCTTAGGGCGCATTCCGTGCGAAGAATCATAGAATTTTTTTGTTCACTTTAATTTACTCATTCACACTGCTGAGTGTAACTTGTATTTTTTTAATGCGATTGAAATGATCGTTTCTTGAATTTTCACCGTTTGACGTGCTACAACCAGACAAAAAATTAAGGCTGTCTTGTTTCAACCATCATGGAAAATAATATTTTAGGTAAAACTACTAGAATATAGGGCCACTTATTTACTTCCTATTGAATCACAATACATTCATTTGTGTTCTGCCTCGTTCTTCAACGCATGCCGATAAGCTGAACCTCAGTGGCCCAGTATTGTGTAGTTGTTCCTTCGATAATGTTGCCTTAAAATATTCATTAGAAGGTTTGAACGACTTTTGGTTACAAATAACCTCACCCTCTCCTAGAGGAAAGTTTATTTGAGGTAGTCGACCATAGCGTTTGCGTGACTCATAATTACACTGCATTTTTAAACAACTTTCAGTTGTATTGCTTCAGACTACAGCTTTTGGGTTTACAGTGTGGACTTCTAAAATGATATGGTCTATAATAGGCGTTCTTTTTCTGACATGGCTCGTGTACAAGCTGTTTAAAGACGAGTTTACTTCGTTGAGAAAAATTCCCAAACCCAGTGGATCTCTTCCAGTGTTTGGTCATGGATTGACATTTCTACGACAGGAAAACCATGCGAAATTGCTGCAGGATTGGAGTGAAAAATACGGGCCAATTATCCGTTATAATCGAGGTTTTGGTAAGTACGGTGTTTGAAAGTTTTTTCAGGATGATCCAGTGCATACAAGTACAATTACTATAAAGGATCAACAAAGCCTCTTTCTTTCGCACTATCAGATATTGGTTCACTAGCTCGATGTTATGAGATCACCGAATTTTGACAAGTTTTCATCCTCTCCACCTTTACTGGGACATGTTGGGCCACTAACATGTATTTTTGGTAATGTCATGCATAACTGAATTGGGATTGGATGATTGAGTGACCTTTGGGGATTTCAAACTTGAAAGATTTGTATCTGCCCCAGCTCCTACTTTCGAATCCCTTGACCTAATCTGACCCACCTGGTACCTTTTTTGTCTCACTCCCTGTGTTTTCAAGAGATCATAGAATCAATGAACCCATATAACTGAAGGTCTAACACTGAACCGAACCATCAACCAAACTGCAAATGATAAGTGATCAAGAAAACTGTGCTAAGAAACATCCCTCTCACCAGTTGTGTGAAATGGCCATTTGAAAGTATTCATGAACTAAGACATCCTTGACTGTCAGTGAAATTTCTTTATGTTTTCATACATACATCTTTTCATTAAATTTCTTTTAGGGGACTCTAGAGTCCTCTTGACAGATCCTGAGCTGATCAAATATGTTGTCGTGACAAATGCAAAGAACTACAGGCGGTCAGAGTTTGTTCGACAAGTTCTGCCCAGCATTGGTAATGGTTTATTTTCCTCCAATGGGAAGGATCATGCATTTCAACGGAAATTGATCACCCCAGCATTTCATTTCAGCAACTTGGTTGGAATGGTTGAGCATTTTGAAGATGTTGCTCATAATTTAGTACAGGTGAATCTTACTCAGTTTAACATTTTGAACTTGACAGGTTTGAGTGCAATCATTTGACCAGTATGTGGGAAAAACTGACAAAAAATAGATTCTTATTCCAGGGTGCAGGGAGGTAGGGGAATGGTTCCTCTGTATAAGATTTTAGCAAAACATATCATGCTGGTCTAAAAGTGGGTGTATACTTTTACCTTTATGGTCTTAAATTGTTTTTTTTAAAAAGGAATTAACACTCGAGGCTAGAACTAGAATTGAACCTTGTTTCCACTGAAATTGTTTGCCAAGTAATTATTGGTCCATCAACTGACAGAGAGTGATTGTTCAACTGTTTCCTTAAGTGTTAAGTGCACAATTATACTGCTTCGAACAGAATTCTGAGACAAGGATTTGTAGGAGTGGTGATAAAGGAGGACTTGCAGTAAAGTACATAACAGAGTTTAATCCTTTAATCCTAAAAGTGACTAGCATCTAATTTCTCCCAACAGTATCACCCCTGGTTTACATATTAAGGTCACAAGAATAGAGGAAATGATCACCAAATAAAGAAGCTCATGATAGTTAAATGAACTCTCCTTGTCAGCACCTTGGGAAATGTAAAGGGAACAGTATAGAGAATGTGCATACTGATTTTAGGGTGTAAAGGGTTAATTATCCAGTTTTAATTAATTTCTGTTGCATATCCATGAACTATGTTCCAGTGTGTATCCTCTTGTGGTGCAATGAAAGGTCTTGAATGCTTTTTTGCAGCTTTGGACTGAACAAGTAAACAGCTCAAAAGAAGGAGTCTCAGAGGCTTCCATCTCTGTGGACTTGACTCATCTTACATTAGATATCATTGGAAGATGTGCCTTTGGGTACAATTTTGACACTGTGTTGTCAGGAGAAAGTGAAGTTTCAAATGCATTCTCTGATGTTATATTAGAAATCAATTTTGCCCGATTGATGAGACAGAAACTTATTCCACTTTACAAATATCTTCCACTCCCTGATAATGTAAGGGCAAGAAAAGGTCTGGAACTGACAGATAAAACTGTCCTAGAGGTGAGGTGTGACTGGATTTATTACCTTAAAATTGGAAGCATATCTAAGTAGGCACGTACTCTTTTGGACCAACATCATCAATTTTTTGATATGCATTACAGACTGAATAATAATGCATAGTTTAGAGCTACCATTAACAAACGAAATCTGAGACGCTTGAACACAATGTCAATCAACATCAATCATTGTATGATAAGCCTAAGCAACCATGCAATATCTATGCAATTTAAGAACAACTGACAATGGTAATAGGACTGAGTTGAGTCCAATTCTGTCTGTAATCGTATTGAGTGATTACAAAATTGGATGACTACAAAGTGAGAGTCCAATTTGTTGATCACGAGTATGATTACAGACCAAATGGGACAACAGAAAGTCCTGTTACCGATTAATCATAACCATTACAATTTCCAAGAAAACAAATGCATTTATTTGAGAAAATATCTCTGGTAGAGATATCATCTAAAATGAAAAATCCTCTCTTATTGAAATTCCCCAGTTTTGTCGGGTAAGGGGTTGTTGTTATGGTAATTTTAATTAATTCTGTGATTTGTGGATTTAACTGAGTGAGTTTAGTATGATTGGCTGCTTTAACTGTCCGATTGTTTTTTGTCCAATTATAACTAAATGTCCCCTCACATTATCTGATTACAACTCTGCAAAGTAATTTGTGAAAAGTAAAGCAGCTCATGCACCAATAACATTAATAAATTTTGAATGTTTATGATTCATTAATTATTATTATATGTACTAGTTATGCTGTTAGATGATAATTTTAAGCAATTGAAGAATGTAAAACAACACGGTTGTATTACATGTAATTAAAAAGAAAGTTTGAATAGTTCTTCTAAAAACTGTAATCTTATCTTCTTATCTTTAAGAAATTCAATACTAGAAATTGATAGTTTTGATTTGATTTGATAAGCATCCATTGGTCAGCTTTTGAGCAAGCTGATGTAGTCTTATTTATCAGCAACCAAGTGTACAGGTCAGATTACAAATGAGACACAGCTTCAGTCACCACTCCTTGTGTTTGATATGTGAGGCTGATTGTTAAATTGCATCATGCCCCCCCTGGACAATATTTTACTGATGCATTAGTTCCACTTGACCATCTATCTTTTGATCTCCTTCTGAGGAAGCTGAGTAGGTTTCTCTGTATTCAGGGATATAATAACAGGGTTCCCCCCCCCCCCAGCCTTTCTAAAGGAATACAATTTTTAACCTGCAGGTTTTTCCATTTAGCACCTGTGACTCAGACATTTGTTTCAGTAATGACTAAAGTTGCCTAACCAACACCTTACCATTTTGCTGTATGTTCTTTCGACACAAACTTAAAAAAGTTGCTGTTTTGGCTAGATATGTGATCCATATTTCTTTTGTCCTTAACAGATCGTTCAGGCAAGGCGTAAAAAGAAGAAAGAGGGAGGAAAAGTGTCTTCTAAACCAGACTTGCTAGATCTGTTAATGGATCAGTATGATGAAGAGACTGGCTCTAGCATGGATGATGAACTTCTCAGAGCTCAGGTGTTCACATTCATGTTAGCTGGTCATGAAACCACTAGCGTATCCATGATGTGGACTCTGTATGAACTGGCCAGACATCCAGACATTGCTGAAAAGATCCGTGAAGAAATTAAACTAGTTATGAAGGACTCATCAGAAATGACTTGGGCAAAACTGGCAGAGATGAAGTTTCTTGGTAATGTCATTAAGGAATCTCTCCGACTTCATTCTCCAGCTTCCGTAGCAATACGTATTGCTAATAAAAATGATGTGATTGGTGGATATGAAATTCCTGAAGGTGCTGTAGTAGCTCTTGGAATTGATGCTGTTCACTATTCCCCAAAGTATTGGAAAGATCCACATGCTTTTAACCCACAGAGGTTTGATGAAAACGGTAAGATTGAGGCATAAATTTCTCTCTTTTTTATTTGCTTGTTTGCTTTTCTTTCATGACTACCCTTGCAGAACAGGAAAATTCCCTGTTAAATTATGAACTGAGTTATGTTAAGATTCTTGGGGAAGGTCAAATGAGAGCCAAATGTAGTCATGAAGAGGGGGACCCATCTGTATGGCACCTCCCAAAATTTGAATTTCAAGTTGTTTGGAAATGCACTTTCCATCACTCAGAGACTAAATCTGTGTATTTTAAAGCATAAAATTTTAATCCTCACTTGTTATATTTTTCAGTCCTTTGCATTAAAATATTGCTTGGCTACATAAAAACCATTGCCAGTGATGTATTCCTGCTAAGCTTGTCAACTCTACTAACAACCAAGTCAATTAAGAGTTGCCATTTTTCTCAACTGTTTTTTGAGATTTTCTTTTGACGTTACTTATCTCAGTTTATGAGGTTGGACTGAACCCCTTAAGCCCTCCCTCCTCCCATTCCTGCCAGCCACAGGGCTCTGTATTTTCCAAGGAGAAAATTTGTTAACTCAAGAATTGGCTGACAACAGTAGCTCTATTTAGATTAAAATTAGTTTATCTGTACACGCACATACACTGAGGATCATTTCGGGTTCGCGTGCTGATTAGTGGATGGTTTTTCTATGTTTGACCGCGCAGATAGAAATGTACATACGCAAAATGGATGTCGCAAAAAGTTACCCACACGGCCACACAAAGAACGCTTTTGTTTTTTCTTTTATATTAGATTTTATTATTTGTTATATATTATTAAATACCTATCAAAACTTTCGGAAGACTTCGGGACTTGCCATACAAAGATGACAAATTTTTTGGACGCTATGTTTAATAAAAGAGATCTCTAAGAATTAAACGTGTCATTAAATTATCGTGTGTGTGTGTACTATCTTTGCAGATGAGAACTACCAAGCTCACCATCCATATGCGTTCTTGCCGTTCTCCGCTGGTCCTCGCTCCTGCATAGGGAGTAAGTTTGCCATGGCAGAGATGAAAGCTGTGTTATCTACTTTGTTGCGACACTTAACATTTGAAGAGATTCCTGGATTCACCGTGAGACCAGTTATTCGATTGACAGCTAAGCCAGATCCGCCATTGCGGTTGAGGATCAGAAAGTTGACAAGTTGAATATGGCTTCAACTTATTTGTTTGGTTGGTTGGATGTGTAACAATTGCGTTTAGGGCTCAGTATTAATTAGCAGTGCTTCAAAAGACTACATAAGGTAGAAGGTATGCTCGCAATCATCTACTATCTATTTTTATCGACTGTTTCGTTAAATCTGTGTTAGATATTTTGTATTTCAATTAGTTTCTTTTATAAACATTATTTTAAAATTGCCGCCATGTCCGGCTGATTAACAGTCAACGTAAAATTTCAGTTTTCTTCAAGTTATGTCTGTGCGTTGTTCTTGTAGTTTAGCGCGGTAATATTCCACCTCTGCTTTTTTGTTTCCTAAATATCTGAGCCAAAATGTGCGTATTCTTGGGTACGGACAAACGACAGAGAAAATCCAACACAAGACTACTAAACCAACAAAGCCCATGGACCCAGCGAGGAAATACAACGGAACCATTCGCCGACTCATTTCTTTTCAACACTACAAGCGTAATTTGCGGACTTGAAATAAATTTCCAAGGTGCTAAAATGCGGCTAATATCGACGAGGAATAGATGAGCCAATACAAAGGATGTCCTTGCTCTGAAACGAAACGAAAAACGAATTTCAAATTAAATATTGTTATTAGCATACAGTCAAATGGAAATGAAAAAGAAACGAAAAGGTGCATACCACAAATAAAAATAATGTCACTCAGTTGTAAATAATAGTGTGCAAGACATACCGTATTGTACTTGTTTTAAGCCCAGCACAGGCCTATTGCGCGGGTCTAGCGCTACATAGTTCTTAAGAATTAAAATTCATATTTTCCTCTCTGTCGGTAAATAAATAAAGCGTATTTACCAGTTGCAGCTGGACTGATATTCTTGGAAATTTAAATTTTCCTTCCCTCTCAGGTTATCTGTCATTTAGAAATGTCAAGCGTACCGAAACCATTAACAACTATTTGTGGATTAATTCGAGACTAGGATGCAAAGCCAAACAAGCGTCATACGAGCGTAATTTTTTACGTCACCGAGGCACTCAAACAATAACAAGAAGCCGTGTTTCTATCGACAAAATGATCTCTGTGTTCGGTTGTCAAGTAGCCCTCGGTATCTCAATTCAGTTTTCCCTCAATCACGGATTTTCAAACTTGACAGCAATACTTATTTGCTGAAGGTGCCAATTTCAATTTGCCCCCGGCAAAAAGAGAAAAAAAGGAAGGAAAATGATAATAGGCGTGAATGAAATATTGTTCGTCAAGCCGGTAATACATAGCGCTGACGCACGTTCATTTCGACGCAGGGTTCACACCTAAGGCTGTCAGGAGAGCTTTCAGACCGATTTAGTGGTAACAGAATCTTCTTGGAAATGTGCTCTCCGAGGGAAAATGTCCCTGAAATTACATTTACCCTTCCCCCACCCCCGCTTCCTCTCCTCTTTTCTTTTGAAAAAGAGGAAGGTGAGACTTATTAGGGTGGTTTTGTTTTGGTTCCGTCTGTGTTTATGCCCTAGAATGAACTATGACCACCTGCACCATACAGAAAACTTTTCCACGACGTTCAAACAAGAAGCGAACAGAACGAACTGACATTATTGATTGATCAATACTGGCCAATCACGACAACCTCGTGCTACTTGAGTCTCAAGTCGAGTATCATCACGGCAAACCCGACCAATCAGTTTACACGAACTGTATTTAATTCACTGGACTGACAAACAGCTCTTAACCTGACTCGGATGATGATTCCCGCTCACCAGGACAATCAGAGTACAAGATCAAGGACTACTGAAGCAATGCTCTTGGCCACTCGAGGCCCGCACGAAATAAAGACGTGCCGGTGAGCAAGAGCTAACTAGCTAGGGCTTGGGACATGACGAACATGACATGCTTGACGTATCTCCTTTCTCGACACCCAATGATTCCGATCTACTCGCTCATTTCTTATTTTTCAGAGCTGCTCTCGCAACTAGATTTTTATGAAATTTCTAAACTACCAAATTGCGTCGAAATGCTCGAAAACTGATTTTGTTTCTTATGCAATTTAAACCCACTTTAGGGTGGCCTAAAGCTTCAGAACAACCTTCACCTCTCACTGAAACACTTTCTACGGTCTCGAGATCTTTCTAATTCACACTAAAAAACGTAGAAATATGTATCAGCATATCTAGTAACAATGGGTAAGAAGCTGTGAGATATTAATTAGCTGCACTTAGTATCTGCAAGTAATATGGCCACTGATTTTGCCTACGAACACTTTTTGTAAAGATATGTAAACATTTTAAACTCATACATTTGAGGGCTCATGGTGTTCCCTACTTGTTGTAAACTTCGCTAATCACAACTTTAACGTCAACTTTTGACAGGCTGACTGACTGTCTGAATGCCACACTTTATTACTAACTGACTGTACCACTGACTGACCGATCGAACGCCTGACCTAACCGATTGACAGTGATCAGTCGGTCAATCTGTTACCATCTTGATGGCTGTGCTCTTCTTCACGAAAAACTTAATACTAAAATGCATTGCAAGTGGGAAGCAAATACTCCGCGAAAGCATAGAGAAGTTGACACAATTATCAGATGGATTCAAAGGAAAGATGATCTAATTAACATATACAGGTCAAAATTGCAAAGCAGAACCATGCGTTGATAAAAAAAAAAAAAAAGGAAAAACTAACGAGAGTGAACATGGTGCCCTGGTACCCTGTTCCAAAACAAAACAGCGTCTTGTATTCATTCAAGAGACCGTGAGTAGTTCATGCTTTCTTGACTCAGTTTATTGGTTTGTGTGCTCGACAAATCCTTTGGTTTCAACTTCTATGGAAGGCATTCCCTACCTACATGTATATTGCTTTGTCTCATTTGTTTACTTCAAAGAAAGCCAACTTTAAGTTTCGCGATGATGTCGCTCAATTGCAAGTTGACTACGTAGAAAGGTCATAATTAGCATCTTGTCCAAATTACATGGCTCTCTTAGAACATGAATATGCTGCTTAAAGAGCTTCATTATCAGGTAGGATGATTAGCTTTATTGCTTTGCGTACTGTGCTGATTTATGCACTGGCGTTCCAATATCATCCCAATGAAATACGCACAAACAAGTTTTATGTCCATTTAAAATAAAATTAAGTCGTCAACCCATGAAATCTCGTGTATATTCTGTCAGGTTGGCTAATTTCTGAGTCATTCTCATAATGTGTGTCTGTCGAATAGGTTCTACATCCTCCCCTCCTTTCGCAGTTTTCAATCACTGCATCGTTTGTTTCATTGTTGTTTTTCCTGGTTGCTTCACGAAGAGGCCAGGGCACTTCCCACCTGGTCATGAACTTTGATTTGTTACAATTTTCTTCCACAACAGTAGTTAAAACATCGGAGTAGGAATCTTCCATCATCTCTCCGCGACCCCGCGGGCCAAATTCACAGAAGTACAATACCACAAGAAGTAAACCAACCAGGATCAACACCAAGCAGAAAGCAATAGACGCCGAACTGATCTCGATCATCAACAAGGGAATATCCTTCCACCTCCAAACTTGGATCCAAGATTCAAAAGCATCTTTTTTGATGGGATGATGCTGCTGTTTTGTTAAAATTCTTTCTTAATCAAAGCAAACTAAAAATACTTATGCATACTTGTTTACATGTGTCGTCCCGCCTCTGTGGGATATCAGCGTGTTTGGCTCTTTGACATACAAATTACGATCTAAGTTAATGTTAGTTGGCACTTTTTTATTCAAGTCCCTGGAGGCTAATGATCTTTGTCTACTGGCAAACAACTATGAAATGACCACCGTAACTCTTAGCAACTTAAATCAAATTCTTAAAACGTCTTTTGTACTACATCAAGAAAAACAGTTCAAGGACTCAAAACTCATATCCAAGAAATTGAAATTATCTTGCCATTTCTTAATTTGAAATCGTGGGACATTTTGTAACCGGGTGAGAATCGGATCGATCTAAAAACAACATTCTGTGAGGATAATGTCTATGTAATTTTGCATAACAATTCATCTTCCTTCCTTTTCAGTTTGAGATAAGTTAATGTACGGTCTTGCTTTTTAGAAGAAAACATACTTCCCCCGTTATGCGTATACTGATGAAATTTTAGCACAATGAAACGCAAAACTGTAATTAAAATGCTTCGCATTATTATCGCTGATGAAACTTCGGTTTACGATATGTCTAGCCACTTAAAAAGCATAGTTCTCTGCATAATATTTTGTTTCTTTGTTTTTTTTCTTTTACGTGATTATTGAGTCTATAAGCGAAGTAAGGGGTCTTCCTTCTTTCTCTGGTTATTCACATGGAACCAGAACTCATCAGTTATAAGCACTCACTCGGAGCTCGTTCTTCACCGGTACAGCCGTCTTCTTTTTTTTTTTTTCCGTCGTCTTTGGAGCATGTTTCGATTGAGTGTCATAAACCAAACTCGAGTATTCACGACAGCCAAGCAGAGGAAAGGAAAATGTCACAAGGAGCCGAAGAAAATTCAAAGTAAAAACAAAAAGTCGCGATTGCCTTCGTTTAAATCTCATGGGTTGAGAAAGTGGTGCTAGATTTCAGGACCAATCATAGAACGAAGAAAAAAAAAACCAAAGAAAACTAGGATTAATTTCGAAACTGGATTATAATTTGCACTATTAAAGTTTACTTACTATATGTGAATTGCATAAAATCGCTGTCATAATAGTGAATTAGATAACAGTTGAGAGCTATGCAGACTCGAAATACGTATAAGTTTTATTTTTTTTTTGTTTCGTTAGTTTAAGTGTGTCTTTTAAATCTTTCATGGCGTTAACAGAGACGGTAATCATATATTATTAAACAAAAAACTAAATTTACTCAAACAGTTAAATAAATTTAAAGCCATTCTTTTTCAAAGTAACCGGTTACTTAAGACAGAATATTAATTAATTTTCACCCTGCATTATTTGTGGAACACTTAAAATAGGAGGTCGTTGCAACAATGTCGCTAAATTATTATTTTACACTAAAATTCTGCGTAGGAGGATCTATCCTCTTCGTGTTCTATTACCAGAATGTCGTAATCCGGTGAATAAATGTGAAAATCCCCCTTGTTGCCTGTGTAGCTACTTTGTTCTTCCAACGTGAGAGTACATATGTTGGTCTTCTTGTTAGCTACCTGAGTTGATGAGAACGATTTCTCGAAGCTTTGTAAACCTTTTGGACTCTTATAATAGTTGAGTAGATTCTCAGTATATCTACTGTTCGTCTGGGCTGATAACGGCCCATTGCTTTTCTGTTTCTGCGGGAAGACTCTACATTTGTTGCTGTATTGATGGCACAGTTTCGTTTCCGCAGAATGACGTGGCTTGTTGACCCGCCTTGCATCTCGAATTAATTGATTTTCACTGAGATATAAATCCTTTCCATTTTCTGAATTTATTTCCAAACCATTCAACGGCGGTAAAATCAACAGCTTTTGTCGTGTGGAGTTTTCTTTCTCTTTATGTGGCTCTGTGTATCGAAGTACCTCGTTTTCTGTTGGCAATTTTCTCAGGTGCGCATAGCGTTTACCAATTTCCTTCTCTTTCTCTTTGATTTCCTTCAGCCTGTTTTGAAAAATTCGATCAGTTTCCATTTGGTCTCGCCTTTGCTTGGCCATTTCTTGTCGTTGCCGCTCTCTTAGTTTAAAAGATTCGTTTTTATAGCTGTCGTATAACGCTTTTCGGATGGACAAAACACTTGGATCCATCTTCATCCGTTTGCGATAATTCTCCAACAGACCAGCAAAATAGCTGTGGTTCATCATGCAGCAAGCTTCAACTAGGACATTCCAAGGATCTTCAGAGTCTGACGAAATGATGGACAACAACCTATCCGCTCTTAAATTGCGCTGATAATTAGTAAAACTCCGCTGACAAAATTGAATGAAGTCGCCAGTTTTAAGAACGAAGCCGATCTCCCATTGCACGTTCAGATAACATTTATATTATTTCAGCACGAGAAGTCCATGGTTATCACACTTATTGCCTCCTGTGTGCAACGGGTAAGCTAGATTGACTATAAACAAATATGTGCAACAAGCTGAACTTTCCGTCCGATTTTCTCATTTCTGACACAGTCACGACTGTACGATCCATGCGTACTTGTAACCCTAAACTGACACAGGCCAGTAACAAAGTTATGCTCGCTGAGATATGTGGGCAGAGAAGATATTAAATTTAAGCAACTGATTGGTTTTGGTTAACAATCACTGAGGTGTCACACCTACGATCAGAGAGGACGTAGCATGGCTCCAAGCTGTGAGTTTTTTTTTTATGATATTCAATAAGGTTTGAGGGACCAAAAGTACTTTAAGTTTACAACAACTGTCGTAGTAATGTACAACCACACACATAGATAGCATAGTTTCCCTTTTTCATTCAGTTGTATTGATGATACTCTGGCATTGCTGTAGTACTACACTAATGCCTGGTGTAGAAATTGGGCTCTTCAAACATTTGTTTTTGTTGTGAAAGAGTTGTTATTCTAGTTCACAGACCAAATCCATTACCACCCGGGCACCCGCCACGATTAAAATTCCATCCTTACGAAATAAAAACCCTAGGAAAATTCACTGATCTTCTATGCATGTTTCATCTGATTTTGCTACATGACATATGTTATTCATCGCGGAATATATTTTAGTATAAAAGTTCAGATTAGATTCTCTGTAAGTGAAGCCTAGCCCCGTAGTAGCTGTACTTCCGCCGGAAATTAATATAGCCTCTGAATACATTAACATAATTAGTAGGACTACTGAGTCGAATATCGATAGCAACAAATGCGGTTGGCAACCAGTCAGTCTTTCTGCAGTAGGCTGATGACCGACCAAAAGTGGCATTCTTTGATACACTTGGGTACCTAGATGCCCTAGCTGGCCATTTTCGTCTGTAAGAAATTAATTTTACCGAAAGAAGCGCAAGTGGAAGTGGCGAAATGGAACAGGTTATCGAAATCGAACACGAGACGACAGCGCGCTTCTCGTGGAGTCAATTATAGCAGTCATGTTAAACGGTTTTGCTAAACACAGGCCTCTCAGTACACTCGAGTATGAACAGCAGTTAGATTATCTGTGTCAGTGGATGGAGAAATGGAGCGATCAAGTGGTGAGATAAGAGTAATTTAACGTGTAGAGTGAAACTTGTCGATCGTGATCGAACAAGTCGCGGTCTATTAGTTATGAATGCATACGGAAAATGATGCATTTGTTTACTCAATATCATGCCGTTATTCACTTTTGCGTTTGCTTTAATACTTTGTATTTAAGCAGCTTTTTTCGTCTGAAGAGAGTGCTTCATACTTCATATTGTAATTTTGCTCGATTTAAAATGTGGTCTGAGTCATCACAACCGTTCTTTTTTGGCAGAATGGAAGGTAATTAGAGATGTTGGTCTAATCGTTGATGCAATGGTGTTAAATTGGTGTTACTCGCATGGTGCGATCGGGAATAAGTTTTACCTCGGGAGGGCATTTGTTTTTCTTTTTATCCTGGCCTTGTACAATGTTGTCGGAAACAGTAGCACGCTTTCCTACTAGATACCGGCAATTTAAGCATTTGTGCTAATTTTTTCGCATGGAACTTACTCTTGAGGTCTCTTTCTAATTCCTAATTTGTTTATCTTTTCTATAATTAAAATTCTCTCGCGTTACTCAGTTTCAGCTTATTTTCAAGTATGCCGAGTATAGTCCATTTCCGCTAATTAAATATTGTTGCTGTACAGTGCTGCTAGGTTTCCTCAAGACAAAATTTTAGAATTGGAAAAATACTACGTTAATTAATTTTCCCTCCAACATTAAAATTTCAAAAAGGGGATTATAAGGATAATCTGAGAGACAATAGTTCAGAATGCACAGAATGATAGGTGTTATTGTAATTCTTCATGTAGAACCAGAACCATATACCTGAAGGTAATGCTTCTGTATAGAGACAATGAATAGGCAAATAAAATACAAAACAAAATTTGAAAAGGATCATGTGAGATGTTTAAGAGTTATCAAGTACCAGTAAAGCTGCCAACAATGTCAACTGCAGATCAAAAACGTTGATCTCATACCAGCTTATGCCTTACTTGAACAGTTTCTTGTGCCCAACGAAAAAGATTAGTGCTTCAAGCAACTCTCATTTTTCTAAAAATGCACCTGTGGAAAAGATTACAGAATCCTGAACCAGTTAGAGAATAGAGATGACATAGCAAATAATTATAATTTCCCCCAAAACTCCAATTTTAGAGTGATGAGCAATGGCAAAGAGCATGTTCTATATCAGTAGATAAACATGGCTATTATTATCTGCAATAATAATATTGGTAAAATGTGAAATGAAACACAAAAAAGCATTCTATTCGTACTTATAAACTTAAGGTAGCTATCATACCCCTGAACAAATTATAAAATAATAAAACCCTTGTCTCTATCAAGTGTAATTTCATCTCTTCTTTATTAAAATGCCTCATGAAATTTGTTGAAAAACAATAAGCTCTGTGTGATACTCAGAAGACTGTAAACGTATGATGTCTTGCTCTAATGGGATTGAATCAAGTAAAATAAGCTAATCAGACATGAAATATCATATGGTGCAACACTAATCAAGTTTTGGTTTTGTGGTTTACTTAATACATGTCCTGATCTTTCATGTGATTGGTCAAAACACAAACATTGCAGACAAATTTAGGGTGTTCATGGTTTTCTCAGTTTGACAGTAGCAAGAGAGAGAAAATATTCTAATAACTTAATTTACCTTCTTAAACTTTGTTGCAGAGACGCAGTGTAATTGATCTCCTTCTTCCACGCTGTGATCAAGAACAAATCACGTTCCTTTGGACAGTAAGATAATAATTGAAATTTTATAATTCAATTCTGTACTAAATATAGCATTTAAAATGGTTGAAAGATTAACAGATTGAAGAAAAAAATGAACAATGAGACAAATATTGTACAGTTATATTGTGTGAAATATTTGAATTTGATTATCAGATAAAGAATTGTTTCAAGTTAGGATAACCAAATTATTTATTATATTTCTTTTTTCATTGTAAGGTGGTTGAGCCAACATTACACAGAGACTTTATGTACAGTTCACTGAATGCATTTCCAAGAAGTTCATTCAGCCCTGTGTCAACACCACTGTGTAGAGAAGTTCATAAAAAACTTGGGAAGCCAAGATACAGAGTATGCTGTTGTTGTTTTTTTTTCTTTTGCATCTCATCTCTTCTATTAGTTACATATTGACCTGAGATTTAACCATCTACATGCAAACAAAAAAAATTTACAGATGTACCTATTCCGACTCCTTAAGTGAATCAAAGTTTTAAGATTATCTTCCAATCTCAATCCAAGGTCTGGAATGTCTTGCTTTTACTACCCTCTGGGTGAAAATTAAATTATTCCAAATAAACAAAACAGAAAAAAAAAACAAATGAATATAAACTAACAAGTTGAATTTGTTTTTTTCTTTTTCTCTTTTTATTACAAGGATTTGGTCAGATAATTCTTTTGTCCAATTTTGACCGTAAACTTTTAAAGCTTTCATTTCATCAATTTCAATGTTGATCAATTGAAAATCATTTCACTTGCCTCATGACATATACTTAGAGGTTTGTTAAAGAGTATTGAACGAGTAATTGTAATAAGGAATTATTTTTTAAGATTTCAGGGTTTTTTTTTAACGAAATGTTACTGCTCAAGTCCTCAGCTTAAAAATAGGTTTCAAGTTCTTCTGACTCAAACTGAAAGTTTTAAAGAGGATCTCCAACATTCATTTAATTTTTTCCACTCTCACATTTCCTCTTCATTTACTTAGGCATGGAAGCTTCACCGGGTGGAGAGTGCCATCCTTCACGATGAAGTAAGAGACACTTTGCGTAACTTCATTTTAAAGAAAAATGCAGTCAGACGCAGTATGAAAATATCGTAATATCAATAGCTTGTTGAGGTCATTTCAAACTTAAACAAAGGGGTTTTTATACTTACAGGTGTATGAAACAAGAAACTGACCTTATGAACGGTTAATTTCTTAGCCGAAGCTATCGGATGTCTTTCAATTAAACACGAAAGAATCGAATTTCCAGGAACTTTCATTCAGTTGCTTTTTGTCGTTGTTGTTGTTTAGTTAACGACGGACTCGTGCTCAATGGCCCTCAGCTGTCAATGTACGGCATGTACGGTACCTTCTGGTGTCTCTTTCGGAAGGGAATTATGGGAAATGTCTGGAAAAAAATGGCGGCTAGAACTCTCCCCCTTAAATTAATTCAAGTAGTTTGTGATCACTTCACAGTTGTGAACCGTACCATACATTTGTTTTTGTTTTGGTTTTTTTGTTTTTCTTTCTCTCCATCATAAACCTTTGTTCTCATCTTCACAAACAGATGAACATGTACATTGATATAAATTGCATCGTACCTGGTAGCACCAAAGGACTGCTGACCCTCGTATAAGTTTAGAAAATATTTCACCTCTTCTTCTCGCCTAATGTTTTGCACATCGTTTCAGTAATTTTTGCTACTGTTCAATCTCATAGGAAGAGGTGAAAGCCTGGACATCAACTGCTGTTTTACCAATTGTGAAGAGTCCTTCCCTTGCGTCACCATCGCGACAAACGAAGAGAACACCGTGAGTAAATACTTCAAACACTCAATAAAAATGCCTCCGGTAGGAAACGTTAATTTATCACTGTTGTTTTACGGTAACAATCTAAATGAAAATTTGTTTTCATGTCTGTTACCTGCGACCATTGGCTAGGTGTTTCTTAACCTGAATCCAGCGAAGGGCCTCACCTTTATCAAAAACTGTCAGGAACATTTCAACTTTAATACAGTCGCTAGTAGCAAAGCTTCGGCGAGATATGAAGGAAAGGTCTAGACGGGAATCGTTCATCTTTCTGGGAACAACACTACAGAATAAAGTTGAGGCTCCTCAATAGGTTTTTCGGCATATTTGAAGGCCGGGATCTGGGAATTTCGAGTAAGAAGGGAGTGAGATGCGGGATTGGTATCATGGACGGAACACGGGAATCGGCGATTTTAAAGAGCGGGATTCGGGAAATAATCACTTAAACGAAGCGAGAACCGGGATGTCCGTTGACGAGAATTTATGAAGAAATTGATCTTCTCGGTCCATGAAAAGCACCAGGCGAACAGGCTCTCTAGCATTTAAGAGGCGGTCGAGCTGGTAAGCGACACTCTTCTGTTGAAAATTCTATCAGAAGCGATGTTGCCAATTTACCAAAAATCCTTAATGGCCCACAGGATAACGTGGCATCTAAGGCTGCTGCGTCCTTGAAAACCTCCAGCAAGTCTCAGTTTGGTATCGAAAAGCTAAATATGTAATCAGTATTATGTAACATTGAGAAAACGAGCAGAAAAAGTTATTGCTCCAATCAACAGTATTGGCCCTATGGCCATTGTGAATGTTCTCTCAAATTCCCTTAAAAAGGTTGCCTACATGTAATGCATTTTATCTCTTTGTTATGCAGTTCTCCTGAGAGAGTAGAGTCCAGAGGTTCATGGAAATCGAAAACAACCTATTTTGGAGTTAAATTACCAGGAATTTCAAGTGTTGGAGGTCAAAAGCGATCTCTATCAAGATTTACAGGAAGTCGCTCAGCACCACCTTGTGGGGCTACCAAAACTTCTTCCCAACATGCTGTGCGACGCCACATGCAGAATGAGTACAAGAAGGATGTAATCAACAATGCTGCAATGGATAGTGGGAGAAAGGCTGACGACGTTACGTCATGGTAGGTGGAGTAAGGTTTTTCCATTACGATCAAGCAAAATCAACTGGTGGTCGTATTTCTTTTTCAATATACGTACATGTAAGTAGGGTTAGCAATTGAGCTAGCATTTCCCAAGAGATACACGTATGTTTACCCCACTATTTCGGAAATTGTCGTGCGCATCGCTCGCCTAACTTTCGTTCTGTGGCATACATGGTGTATTTCTATTCTGATTTTTGTCGGCATCCAAGACAGGATATGTTCTCCCGCCTGTATGCATGAGTTAGTAAATTAGTATCTCCTTTGAAACGCGATCAACCGGTGTATGCCTTTTATTATGAAAGTAAATTGACCTCTCTGTATCAGATTGATCCTCAGTCTAGCAGTGTGCAATGTCTGACGAAAGAAAACTCGACCCCTCCTTTATCTTTCTTTACATGTAGCTATACAAACAAAGAGTTGGCAAAGTGTATTGTTTCCTAATGGTTAAATGAAAGTGCACTCTAGAGCACGATTTACAGTTGTTATTAAACATCACTGACCGTCACATACGCTGTACACGGTTAGACTCTAATTTTATTTTCAACCTTCTCAGGCAAAGATTGTATAAATCGAAGTCTTGCCCCAATGTGTCTCACACGGCAAAATCTGTGGTCGGTCAGCAGAGGCATGTGCTGCATGTAAGTAAAATTTTATCTCATTACCAGACTGTACAGGAAGTGGTTAGACAAGTAGGCAAGAGTTGAACCGGCGCGTACATGGAGACAAAGCGGCCAGTTTTATTCTGTTATGTTCCAAGAAGAGACAAAATACTCCTACAGAAGTTCTTTCGACCCAGGATGAAATGGTTGGCTGAGAAAGGTTAGGAAAGCTGACCTGGGAACTGAAATTCCTTGAGTTGCAAACCTATTCCAAGTGCAAAATAATCTTCATTGATTCGACTTGTGGATTCCTTGCTTTGTTTTCCTCTCACTCCGGAGCATGCTCCTGTCTCACCATCATGTTTTTATTTTCGTTCTTTCTCAGCACCGTACCAAAACTGAACAAGGTCCAAACTCAGCGTGGAATTTGATTTCATTACCAGAGAATGCTCAGTGTCTTGTTCAGTGGTTTGAGCAACAGTGGAGCGGTAAGGACACGCTACAGTCAGTTGAACTTAAAACAGTTTGATTACCTGTAGGCAGACGTAAACAGAGAAAGATGATGGAGTCAGGAACAAGGACGAGGAAAGAGAGCGGAAAAAGGGAATTCCTTTCCCCCCTCCCTCCTCTTTCCTTTCCCCCCCTCCCTCTCTCTTTCCTTCCCCCCCTCCCTCCCTCTTTCCTTTCCCTATTCCTTCTTTTTCTCCCCTCTACTCTGCCATTGAGCCATTATGGATGGCAATTATGGATGGCTGGTCAACAGTAAACACCACTTATTGTGTATTTCACCTCTCTTTAACTATAGGTTGGCAAAAGAATGAATTTCTTCAGCTGTTCTTGAGGGTTCTTGCGCCCAGCGAACTTTACTTTCTTTCCGGACTTCTCGCTGTAAGTTAATTTAGCTTTGTGTGCGACTTGTGCACTACACAAAACATGTCTTGAAATCGTAATTTTTGATTATCAACGGCTTGTTATGTACACAATAAATAAACATTTTCACTCGCAATAGAGTGGCAAATTAAAGTTAAATTTTGTCGTAACCGAATTGTAGCAACAAGCTTCAATTATCTACCTCTCTCTCTCTCTACGTGATATGAATTTAAAGTATTTTTCTTTCTTTCAGGTTAAACAGTATCGAGATTTTATAGCTATGCTCCCAGAGCAGTTAGCTATTCGCATTTTTTCTTTTCTTGTTCCAAAGGAACTTCTAGTTGTTTGTCAGGTAAGAGCTGAGTTAGCATACCTGTCGTTGTACCCCAATTTTTTTTTTTTGTTCATGATGGTGTTATTTTTATCGTTTTCATCAAACCCGACTCTCTAAAATCACTTTTCTAGGATGGTGATTAAGTCGTGCATAAATGTAGACATCAGGAAAAATAAAATAGGCCCCTAATGTTAAATTCATTACAGGCAGCATATAGTTATAGTATTGATAATAGCTTTGCATTCTTTGTAATACACTAAAAAATATTTCCATTTTGAATGAAGGTGAGTAAAACCTGGCGTCGTCTTGCGTCTAAAGATGAGCTCTGGAAAGCAAAATGTCAAGAAACTTATGTTGGTGAGTGCAAAATCTTCTTTCAACTGAGCTCACTGATGTGGTAATTGAAAAATCTCTGAAGTTAATTGATTTTTAAACGTCATTTTCCATTCAAGGTGTGCCACTGAGTACTCCAGCTGTATGGAAGGACATCTTTAGAGAAAATCTTAACCTGAAGCGAAACTGGGCAAATGGCCGCTGCAAAGTGACTGACATGAGTGGCCACACCCACAAGTAAGTGTTGGGTTTTTTTTCCAAGGTTTTTACCTCTTGGTGGCGAGTGGATGGGTCGTACTAAGTGGAACAAAAGGCCGACTTTTACTACATTCTAGAACATTCGCGCAGTATTTGAGATTGTTTTCATCTTTCAGCGTACTTTCCGTGTGTGCTTACAAGAACTACGTTGCGACCGGCAGTTTGGATAGAACGATAAAGTGAGGGAATCACCAGTTTTTACTTTCTTGTGTACTTTTTCAACATGTATGTGTTCTCAGTGATTGTGTTTCTCCTGAGCTTCTCACTCGTAAATTTGTTTTGTTTTACGTTAATAAGAAAGCTTTTCTATGTTTGCTTTGTTTTAGTTATTTGTTTTTTTCTACAGAATCTGGGATGCCAAAAGTGGTGCATTGCTTCTGACATTCCAAGGACATACGGTAAAAGAGTAATTTTATATTTGTTGCGAGTCATAAAAAACGTAAATGTTCAATTGGGTTGGTTGCTGTTCATTGTTTTTGCAACTTTTTTCGTTACTATCGTCTTTGTTGTGACTTTCACAGTTGTTGTTCCATCTTTTTTCTTTTTTTTTTTCTTTAATAAGGATGGAGAACTTAACCATTATCTTTGTTGACCTTGGTGCTTTGCCCAACTTATTGTTATAAAACCTTATCGTTATTATTATCATAAAGCTTTTATCAGGTTACCTGCCTGCACAATACAGACCAGAAGTAGTTTGTCATGCTATAGGCTGTTCTCGTTAGATGATAACGCCATCACACCTTTTCAATACCCTTAGTTTATTTTCTCTTGAAATTTGCTTTAAAGAATCCTCGTATACTGAAAGTAGTTTATTTGTTATTTTACCATTGACAGCGTGGTATTTGGAGTTTGCGGTTCTTGTCAAGTTCTATTCTGATAAGTGGATCATACGACAAAACTATTCGGGTGAGTACTTTGAGTGAAATGGGAAAGGAATGAGAAGTAGTCCTGTACTCGAAACAATGGACTCCGTCATTAAGGCCCTGTAAAAGAAAGACATTGATTGTCTGGTTCTTTTGTTTTATGGAAGGCGTCGTTCGGTATCTGGAAGTTTCCCCCTCAGTATGACGAGGTCGCCCCATCAAAAATATTAAGTTCACCCCCACTTCAACCAATTTGCCCCCAACTCTTTCAACTCTTTTCCTTACGGCAAAGCCTACTTACGTTTCTTTTTTTTTTCGATCAACAAGAGGAGTTACTGCGAAACCATGATAAAATTTTATCAATATGGAAATTCCTAGCCATGTTTACCTACATGCGACAGCACGAGAAACGCAAATGCCCTATGTTACACTGGTCTTCATGTAATTAGCTTGACTCTACTTATGCATATGTTCGCATAAGATTTATAGAACTCGTTACCTCTCCTTAAGTCCAGTTAACTTCATTCATTAAAGCACTCTTGACCATTAGGTCAAGTTCATCTTGATCAATCCCTCTCGAGCGACTTGTACGCCCAGAAGGCACGTTACTTGCCTGGCTTTAGTTACAAGCGTAATGATCATCCTTATAAAGTTTAATCACTGTGGGAAACTTTTTTCTTTCACTGGGCGAACTTGCAGTGGGGCGAAACCTTCACAAACTCGTCGATTCGGTGAAGCCGAATGGAAACCATTGTATGCATCAAGGACAGTGAACAACTCCCATTTTCCTTGAACGTCAACGTGCTCTCATGTTGTGAGATTTTTTGTTTTAAGCCAATTTATCTTCAAAAATGTTTTTATTGGGAAATTCTCGCGGAGGGATCACATAATTTTTACAGAAAGTAATGTAAAGTAAAGAAAGTGTATTGTTAATCCATCCCTGAAAATGAGAATATTCAGTCTACTGAACCTACATAGTCAGTTAGTTATTGTAAAATTTGGATGGCAGACCCGACCCGAATGTCCTAGCAGTCGTGTGATGTACCCCTTTTGTGCATTTTCTTCAAGCCTGTGGAAAAGGACAGGCTCGTTGAAGTTCTTTTTTTCCTGTATTAACATAGGGAGGGGTATATATTTAATCGTTTTCTTGATTTGCTTTGTTTTTAGCTCTGGAGCCTCCGAACAAATATGTGTGTAAGGTAAGAAACTACAACAACAGACTCTCCCATAAGTCAAGCTCAGATTGCTCTTTCTTTTTCTTAAAGTGCGAATGGGAAATGAGAAGAAAACAATTTTTAAAAAAGTGGAAAAATGGCGAGTATTAATGTTTGGCTGTTGGAATATTACGACCCTTCTTTGATCCACTGCCTCAGCTTATATGCTACCGTGAGAGAGGTCGGGATAAACCCCAGATTCTTTGTGAAAGGGTTGTGTTAGAGATAACAGATCATTATGTGTTGTATTTTTCGTTGTAGAATATTAATAAGTCATGATGGTCCCGTCTGGGCCATCGAACGTAAGGGAGATTTCCTTGTCAGTGGATCAAGCGACAAAACGGTCAGTAAATGATCAGCTTCTCAGTAGCTAACTGAGTGTTTTTGTAATGCAGACCTCATTATTAGTATTGGTGATTAACACGATCAGGTCTTGTTCCATCTTGAGGTTCATATACGCAAATAAGAAAAAATAACAGAAATCATAATACAGCAGAACACGTAAGGGATTAAATTTGCTTGAGAGTTCCCAGTGGTAAACAACACATACCCTTGTCTCTTAAGTCGTTTCAGACCTGTTAGGGTTCTCCATTAAGTACTCTTAGAAATACGAAGTACGGTTACTTATCAGTTTAACTTTTTGGTTAATTTGTTGCATTGCCGCTTTACCTGACCTATGAATGGACATTATTTCCTCATTCAGGCCAAAATCTGGAACATTCGTCAGTGTAAACTCCTTTTCTCGTTGATGGGTCACAATGGTTGTGTTTTCTGTGTCGATCTGGATAATGAATGTAAAAAAGCGTTCACCGGCTCAGGAGACAGGGTAAGTTCCTTGCTTAATGACTAAAGATCTTCATCTCCACGAAATTTAATTTTGCAATGGAAATATTCATATCAAGAATTTTTACAAACGTGTCTATCCCATCTCCTCCGCATTCGTCTTTTTTACCAAGTTATTTTCGTGATATTTTGATAATAACAGGTCTGCAGGTGGAGACTGCATCTTGTCCACTAGCTCCCTGAACGCTGGCCTGGTAGCATTTGAAAATGAAACTCAAAGGATCAATGACTTAAAATCAGCATGCGCATTCTCGATACTGTTCTCTATGCATTTCCCATATTTGTCACACATAGAATTCGTACAGCGATCTATATCTCTAGTTGGCGGTCATTTCCGTTTCTCTTTTAAAATTTTAAATTCAGTGGTAATACCTTAGGGAGAAATTAGACGCTAGCCATTCTTAGTATCTAAAGTGTTAATCCCTGAAATCAGGGAGAGAACTGTGCGTAAGGGTAGATAAACACCGGGGGTAAGACTCAGACTATAGTTAAGGATGGTGATAGCTCCCTAAACGTAGATAATGTAGCCAACAGTCTTGAACTAATGTCTAATACAATAGTCTATGTGCTTTTTTTTGTAGACTGTACGAGTGTGGGAGGTGTCCACAGGTGTTTGTCTTTTGTCCTTCAACATCGGACAACTGTCTGGCTCCACAGTGACTGCTGTGAGTTTTGATCAGGTTAGTACTAACATACGGTTTTGCATATGATGCACGTTCGTTGAATAATCCGGGCTCCAAAAATATCTCTCCAACACAATGTAGAAAAAATATATAATGAATTCTCCTCGGAAAATTCAACATTTTGGCATAATGATTGCCACTTTGTACATCATTTAACTCAATCCCCGCCTCTTCTGTGTAATATACTAAAACTAGAGAAAGACGGATAATAATTAGTGCCAAGAAGTCAACTTAATAAAGAAAAGAGTAAAAAAGGATTCGTTTATTTGAATATCCCCCAACCCCCCCCCCTCCTCCCACACACTCGTTTAGCTGTATATATGACTTCTTCACCCATATTGAAGGATGGCTGCAACAACCTCCCATCGATAATTCGATAAATTGTCGACAGTAAATTTTAACTGCCATTAATTTGCAATTTGTGTGCAGGGTCATGTAGTGGTAGGGTCGGGACAGCTGGTGTCGCTATGGAACCTTGAGACAGGTGCCTGTGTAAATGAGTTCAAAGGACACAAAGGAAGGTACGTCATGTATATTATATCGACAGCTATCAAAAAGATGCATTTACAGAATTTGAGACTAATATGCATAAAGGTTGGACAGTGTAAGGAAACTGAAATCTATCTCACACTTTCAAACTTGGATTATTGCGAGCTTCCTTAGATTTAGTCCAATGTGACTCTCTTGTTTCACAACCCACACACTTTTTTCCCCAAGGTGATCAGCAGTCCTCACACTTCTTAATGATTTTTCAGGATTGAATCTATTAAACTGAAGTTCATAATGGTGAATGGGAAGAAAGAAGCGGGCCTCATAGTCAGCGCTGGTAAAGACGGTCTGATAAAGTACTGGGACATTGAACAGTAAGTTTCATATAAGTGTGCCGATAGCAACTCTACAGTTTTTGAATTGACAATCCACATCGTTATCTTCCTTATTAAGATTTTGCATAAACATATTAAAATTGGTATTTGTATTTTAATGAAACTAATGAAGACATAATTTGGCAATCACGGAACTCAAAACTAACATGCCAGACTGCTTTTTTAACAAATGTAAAATTGATGGGTAACTTTATTTAGTCAGGGTGGCCCATTCAGGTACATGGCTGTCTAACAGAGGAACCCTGGTTATTGATCAAATGTTACAGAGGGACCCTGGTTATTTATCAATTAATCAATGTGTTGTTCATTGTGTATTAATACTCATGTCATGGATGATTGATTGGTTGATTGATTAATCGGTTGATTGATTGATTAATTGATTGGTTGATTGATTGATTGACGTATTCAATTAATGACTTTCTGTTTGCCTGACTTACTGACAAATAGAATGGCGGACGGACCGTTGGACAGAGAGACGGACAGACTAGTCTTTAAATGAATCGCGCAATTTATTGATTGCTTCTTTTTCTTGCTCAGGGGTTCCTGTATTCAAACACTTAAAGGACACAAGGACAATGTGAACTGCATCCATGTGGATTCCACTAGGATCATCAGTGTTTCTTATGATCAAAGAGTGCGAGTCTGGGATTTTAATTCATGACCTCAACAGCAATCGTTGAATAAAGAGACAATATATTGTTCAAAAATGCACTCGTTTTGAGTATTCCTCTTTCAAAAAATTGATTACCTTATTCTGTGTTACACTTCACTCTAACTTCTCATTTCAGTCGTGTACTTTAAAGAAATCAGGCCATCGCGAAAAGAGTCAATAGTTATAAATAAAATTCTTTATATATTTAATTCGAGAAATTTAAGCTCTTATTTGGTAAAGATTTATGAAGGAGATAATCATCTATTTCCACATTGCAAGAGTGTTTTGGCATTTTTGGTCAGATTGGTAGTTTGGTAACTTGAATCGCATATTTTAGCTGTAAATAGTCTATTTAAATCCTGAGAATGCTGTGTAGATATGTATTAATAAAGTGATATGTCTTTAGTACACTGTGGTTTGTTAGCTCTCTTGTTACTTCTGAGCTGAAAGACCCCCTTCGATCACTCTGACTTTTTCTCTGGTTGGGCCATGACTTCCAAATCTGCAAGGGCATTTAGGGAATGTGGTTTAGCACTGTTGCTTGTGATCATGTTAGTTTCGTAATTCGGCGGCACACTTTAGTGAACCTTTACTGCTGTCCCTCCCTCGAGCACAAAGGGTACAACGTCGCCACGATGCATCGAATATATAACAAGTCTTAGTTCGTAAAAATAAATTGATGTTAAAAAAAAAAAATTAAATATCACTAGCCCTTCAGTCACCTTCGCACTAACTGACGCAGAGGGTCTCAACAATCAGCCTCTAGCTAGCTGTTTCCCCCTGCTCCTTTTTTACCATTATCCACCATTTTTGTCAAAATATTGTACCTCTATCACTATCTACCATATCTTATTATTTATATATATTTATCAATGAACCTATTCATTCATGTATTTATTGCGACATTTTTTACGAATTAAGGGTAGTTTATAAAATCGTCACACTAGCGGCGGTGGACTTTGATACTGACATGGTGTACAGCATTGTTGAGTATTGCGTGACGTTGCTTTCAGCACTTTACTTTCATGTTTATTTCGATAAAGTCCTGACACACGTATATGATATTCGAAATTGGAATGAATAGAAATCGCTTCTACCAAAATTTGACACCTTTATCATCGCAGTGGTTTCACTGGACATTCAAAACACCTGGCATACTTTCGTGAATTTATCGACAATCCACATCGAATCGCCTTGGGAATAAACTGCAAGCGACGACACGATTTAACAAGTAAGCCGCGAGAAAGACCTTTGAACATCGCACCTTGTTTAACAAGGATTTCGAAAATGTGCCAGAAAGAAACACTACACAAAGCAAAATGAAACGTGTAACCGAAACTAGAGTGAAGGGAAGTAACAGCAAGTGCAAAGGAATTCTCTCTGGTCTGAGAGTCTTCGTTGGGTCATTCCTTGCCATCGTATGTGTTCTCAAAGATATAGTTGGCTTTATATTCTTCGGAACTGTCCGTCTGTTCACCGAGTCGTGGCGATGTTTCATCCGAACTATTTTGAGACTCGCTAAGGAAATAACAGTGTCTTCCATGAGAATGATTCTGGGTGGCGTTGAGGAATTATGGAACATTGTCATTGGTAACATTCTACAAGCAATAGACTGTGGCAGCCGTTTCTTCGTTCGCCAATTGCAGCAGATCATTACAATACTTGGCTATTCGGTTGTAGTGGTCGTGTTTGCTGTTGCTTACTTTGTAATTCGAATCATGAAGTCCTTCTTCAATCACTAATCAGTGGTTAAACGAGATATTTATTGATTATGTATCAAAGTTCTATGAAGTAATACGCAAATGTATGTAATACTGTGGTAATTTAGTATTATCAACTGAGTTGATAACGTTTGATTGGCCACCGTAAAGAGTTCATGATTTGACGTTTCGAGCGTTAGCCCTTCTTCAGAGCGATTGGCGAAGGGCTAACGCTCGAAACATCAGATTTTAAACACTTTATCAACTCAGTTGATAATACTAAATTACCCTGTTATTCTCTCCTACCGACGCAGCACCACAGTTTCTCCAGAAATTTACCCCCTTTATTCATATGTAATACTATTTTGTCTATGCTAGCGATCAGGCGGTATCATGAGTGACGATAACTATTGGATCCAGTGAAACGAGAAATATTCCTCCATTATTGAACAGGATGGACTTGTTACCATGAGAACAATTTTGAAACCGATTATTGAAAAAGTAAACCGAGTTTTTCTACCAATTATTCTGGCAACGTATGTAAATCAATACTGTTTCTCATATGTATTTGCGTGACGTGCATAATTTGAGATGACACCGCTCAATTATCATAACCTCAGCGTCCATGCATCGTCTTCAGTTTCCTCGGCGATTGGGAAGACATCCTCACAGTTAAAAAACTTACACGGCCTGAGTTAAGACAAGATTGTACGGGTTATCCTTATTTATGACGGCGAAAGCGAAAGAACGTCGAGGGTTCGGCTCGTCAAACTCGCTTGGCTTCGAAATATCCAGAGCGATAGGGCCGAACGCTCTTTAAAACGTCGAAGCGATTTCAAGCTTCTGAACACTCTGAAAGGGCACATAAATCGACTCTGGAAGTTTACTGAGAAATTTTATGACTCCTTTGAACTTTCAAAGTGTCTCTATATTTATTCGCAGAGAGAATAGACTGAGTATCTCGACTGTTTGATTCGCGTGATATGGCGCCAAAACGAGCGAAACAAACTGACACTTCCGTTGAACGTTCCATTTTCAAACCATTGCTTTTGCGCATTGGACATCTCATCGTGCTGCTCATCTGTAATTTCTACCTACTTCTGGTGCGTTATATTGGAGAAGGATTGCACACCTTACTGCAGGAGATGTTTGGTATGATTCGCGAAGTGATAAAAATTATCCTCATGTTGGCAGCTCGTATAATATCGGAGATTTGTTTTGGTGCAGCTCTAGTGATTGAAAAGATAGTTTCTGCTATTTTACATCTATTCCTTCTTCTAATACAAGGAATAGGAAGATTTATAAACCAGGTGGCAAAAGGACTAGTGGAACAGGCAGGATATGGTATTTCCTCTGCTATCTTTATCATCGTAACTTTGTATTTCGCATGGCGGATTATTCCAGTTTTGAAGCAAATTAATCACGCAATCTCTCTTTATTACAGCGTGACAGAATAAAAAACACCAGCATTATGAGTCGCCGCCAACAGAGTATAAAAAATTGACTGCTAAATAACTGCCAGTGAGGGAAGAGGGAGGAGAGGAAAGAGGTTTCATAAGATTATTATAGAACCTTAAGGGGGATCAGGTGAATTTTATCGAGACACAACAAAAATCAAAACGAAAGTGGTCCTCGCGGTGATGAAGAATACCCAACCCCCTCCCCTCCTCCCTTCTTTCCCCCCCCCCCCCCACCGACGATATAGTAAGAGGAATGCAGGCCTCAGGAAAGCAATAAATGATAAATGTGTGACAAGGAGATACCAACTTTCTCAGTCTTCACTAAATATGAGTTTAAGTTATTTCATTAAGAGTTGTGGACAGGAGTGTAGTGAAGCTGGCTTTACTTGTTATAGACACACGTTTCTTTACCAGGGAAAGGTTGTTTGAAATCCACTGAATTCACAGCCAAAAATCCTGGATGAACTGCTTACAAATCTATTCGCTGACATGGAATCAAAATATCTGTATAAGCTGGCCACATTAGAACGATAGCCAACTCAAATTCTGTAAAAGTTTCTTTAAACATCGAGACGCGCATCTCCGACGGATTGCTCCCTAATCGTCAAGCATTGGGGCTTCAGAGTCACTGAAGGCGTTTATTTGTACTGGTTTAATTCAAATTTATTTCTTTACCTCTTAATTTTTTACTCGGGGATATAAGTAGCTCTAAAATATCAAATTTATTTCCCTATCTGTTAGCTCTTCATAATTCGAGAAAGAATATAACACTCCGGCTCTTTGCACTCAGAGGACTGATTGGTGATAACAGTCATGTTAACGTATGCAAACGTTGTTTGACTGTGTAAAAAAATATTGATCGAGATCTCTAAACTAGCATATATCGCAACAAATAAAAATACAAATAATAACGATACAAGGACGCAAACAGCGTTATAGAGGAAAAAAACCAGAATAAGCGCAGATTTTGACCAGCGCCTCTAACTGATAAAATAATTGTTCATATTCGAAGTTAAGAGATACAAAACGTTCAGCGAGATCATTTGGATGGTCTCAAATTTAACTCCCATTTGACACACAAAAAACGCGATTCAAGGGCGCGTGGCTAAAGGGATTCCCAGGGTAAATTTTTGGTAAGAAGAGATGGTGATTTCGGGTAATAACAAAATATCCTGCTTTACTCCTAAATTTCAACAAAACTCTGTTAACCCCCCGTCCTCCCCTCTGGCGTAAAGTCCTCTTTACGCACCACAATTTTCAAAACCAGACTGTAGATTAGGTAAACTTTTAAAAAGCTAAAACACTCTGCGCGTAAGCTGTTAACCTCTCGCCATTATCAATTACGAGTATAATTTTTTCTCAACCAAATTTGGCAATGTAGTTCGGCTGAAAGCGCGCCTCGACGCTGTCACCCGTTCTTCTTTTTGGCCACGAATTTAAGTCTTCAGAACTCGATTTCTAGACATTCCACGTTAACAGTCGAGATAGTTTAACCTGTTCTGCTAATGTCGCATTCAGGTGACTTTGTTATAATTTATCACGCAACTATATTCTCCCATCGCACCGTGTAAATGCCAAAGTAAATCCCCAAAAAGATTGTGTAGGAAAGAGGAAAAACTATCCTAGAATACTTATCCAGATAGCAGATCTCTTCTTCACCATCCTCGATTGTCTTTCTAATCATTTGAATCATAGAGGGTCGCCTATGAAGCTTTTTCAATTGATCCCGGTTTGGTTGTCGTTTAGGTTTATTGGTCAAATTAGGCGTGGGTTCTACGATTCTCACAGTACGCCCAGGCTTGTTGTGATTATTGACGTTAAAGTTCACAGGGCTGCCGTCCGTTCTTGGTTTACCATGTTGAAAATCATATGTTTTGCTGCCTACGGATACTGACACAGAAACCTAAAAGAAAATGAAACTTCTCAGATATACGTCATTTTAAGATGACGTAGTGATTGTCAAGGCAGATAGCCATTCCTTTTCCCCTCCCCACGACTGCTCCACCTTCTCATGCTATTAAACCTCTTCAGTAATACTGGATGTTGTCATTCCAATAACCCCAGGAAAGCTAAATTGTGCATCAACGTCCATTTTAAGGTATCAAAACTTGCAACGACACAAGGGTACAAAATTGATGTTATCATTGAATATATTAATTCAAAAGGGGTTAGCATGCTAAATTTTTTCCACATCAATTAATTCCGCATAAAGGGAAGAAAAGTCATGTTTTTTCTGTTAAAAAAAGTCGGTTCAAAAGATCTCCTATAGAAGGAAACAAGTGTTATTATTTAAATTTAAAAGATAAAATGATCAGTTAACTTTGCTCCTCTCTACAAATTATTATTTTTTATTACTATTACACAAAATACCTTTTCATCCTCTGAATCTGAAAACAGCAGCTCTGCCTCCCGCTTCCGGTCACGTGCCAATGTTTCTTTATTTTTTTCGTTTTTCCTTTTCTTCTCCTTTCTTGTCTGTTTCAAAACCAGCACGTACTCGATCAGGGTCATGAAGACAAATACGAACGAACCCAACAAAAAATAATCCACGGACTTGAGATATGATACACGTGGTACATTATCATTCATAGAGCCTCTCATGAAACTAATGGTTAGAACCGTAGCTATCCCCAGTCCTACGCGGTCAGAACCATCGGTCTCGTCAATCCAGAAGCTTACCCATGATAAAATCACAACGCAGATACAAGGTATGTACATTTGGAATATATAATACATCGTTCGACGCCTGAATTTTATTGTTGTAGTGAGACCTGAAAATCCCTCTGATGAATGCAAAAAAGAAGAAACGTTTTTGTCAGAATCTAACTTATCCAAAGGTATATCCTTTAAATGGTTACACAGTTGACTCATTCACGGTGAGAACTATGAAATCGAAAAAGATGAGCTGGACATTTAATCGCTTTTTGGTGTTTTGGAGGTGTCGCTTGAGCAAGCAACCTATTTCTTTTTTATAAACTCACCTGAATGGTAGATTTGATGTTTTCCACGTCGTTTGGCTGACAATATGTCAAACTGGGCCATTTCTTTGTCGTAAATGTAAATGTCAGTTCCAATTTGTTGTTTCCAAGTTAAATTCAAGTCCTTGCTTTCGAATGAAACTAGAAGGCAATCAAAATGCCGTAGTTTTTAAAATAGAGGGTCTTCATCACAATTTCAACATTTAACAACTGGTGCGAGAAATACACGCACCATGATTTTTGGGAACGAATTCACCTCATAATGCAATCAGATCCTCTGATACAGTCCGGCAATTCATGGAGGCTGCAAGGATTACGTAACTGGCAGCCATCGCCTTCGTCTGCTGTGGCCCAGGTGAGATTTCTCGACCTGACCTGGTTCAGTTTGTTAATGGTTCCCCTCTTTTCTCCTAAAGTATTTTCTATGGATTCTCTGGTTTTCCACCCTCCATCCGAAACAAACAAACAATATGATAAAAAAGTCCTGTTATTACGACCTACGTTTCCTGGCCCGACGATCTCAGTGACCCTTTCATTGCCAAAAGACGTAACGGTACACATTCATAACTTTTAATCAAAAGTGCAACAAACTCTTTCCAATTATGCATTTCGTAGTTTTAATTGATGATATTATTTAGCACTTACAGCTCTCAAAAAATAGGTGACAGATCTGTTCATCTAACGGATAATCCCTGAGGTCCACTTTACAAGAGCTTCGAGCAGTGTATCTGTTAGTGAAAGATTAGGTCTATTTTCAATGCATCTGCCTCTCATTGAAAGGCAACCGAGGTGTAAAGCACTTTGTGTGTGTGGGGGGGGGGGGAGGGGTATGTGAATGATCTTTGCTTCAAGCTCACATGAAAAATTTCCCTTAGAAAACCAAATCCTTTTTCTTTGTGCAAAAAAACAGGGAGGAGTCAATTCGGTCATCGTATTTCTGTCATTGAGAGGTAACGTGAGCGTAGTAACTTCTTGTGCAAAGATGTCACGACACCTCTTTGAAGGCTAAATTACTTCAAGCCACAACCACTTGTCTAAGTGCCTTAAATATCGATGTCTAACCATCTGTCTGTCTGTCTATTTGTTTATCTGTCTCTGTTTGTCTGCATTACCGAAGTTATTCCTTCGTTTTTTCCCTACCTTTATTTCTTCATACTTTTTCCTCGTTTTCTTTATCATGGTGCGTATCTTCTTTCGTTATGCGTGTAATATTTTACTTGTGCCCTACTTACCTCAATACCAGCATGATCGTTCCGTTTCCCAGATGGACCCAGGCTTTCTTGTTGACTGCTATCAATTGGTGGATTTTTGTGTCGATTGAATTTACAATAAAGGTGTCTGGGACCCAGAGTTTGTCCGTTGCATCTCCACTCAGAATAATTGTTTTGTTAAGACCAAATCCTAAACGAGGATCACGCCAGAACTGTCCCATGTATAAGTCAACGGAAAATTCCTAATGAACACCAAAGAACTATCATTATGAATCAAACTATGGTTTTAAGAAAATGTGGCTTGATGTGACATTATTTCCATGCATACCTAAATAACTTTGGACACTTAATTGAAATATATCTAGGAGTATGAAAACATGTAGCCCTGAGCCAGGCCTAGAGGTGATAAAGGAGCTTTGGTGAATAAGTATGAGCGTATGTAAAGATGCAAAGTCAGATTTCCAGCCAAGTGGCCCTTCCTTCAGACATACAATTGCAATCTGGCATTGCAGTACTTTTTCTCTCGTGCGCGCCATGAATGGTTTATAAACCAAGCCAGGTGCAACCTCCTCTACTTATCAGATGCAAATCGCGACTTGTTAACTTGCCTTTTACCTACGCTTCAGCACTCCGCTAAGAAGCTAATAAACTTCATGATCATTACGATTCTTACCATATTGGTTTCACTAAGTTCTCCAAATGAAAGAATGAGTAGGTCCATGGCGACGTCGAGTGTTTTAACTAGAATGGGAAGCAATAGGCATAATGTCGGATCTTTATAGCGTAAATGAGAAGCTGGAGAAACACAAGGGGTTTTCTTTCTTGAAAGTATGCTGTCTGATATCAATATTTTTTCACCCGACATGGATGCAATCGCTAAAAGTACCTTACTTTAACAACTGTGTAAATCATGGGCAAACTCAACTATTACCATGCAGTTCTAACAAGTCACGTAAAATGTGGTAGATATCTCAAAATAGTACTGAGAAAATAACCGAAATTAACATTCTAATGTACTTTAAGCGGTTATCAATCACTGTCATTCATACCTATATTCATTTATCGATTAATTCGTTCGTATCTTTTTAAATCATGTCCCGGGTAAGACTCGTGAGCCAACCGAAAAATTGGGTGGGTGAATGGCGTCGACGATCGTGACACCAACGGATTAAAACGTTAACATTTCTATTTAAAGTTATGAGTGATATAACCATGGCTATTTCAAAGTTTTGAAGTCTCCAAAGATATGTTTAACTTAAAAGATATATGGTCCTACCATCATAAAAGGGTCTAATACGCTTGTCGTAGGTTTTGAAAACTGCTTCCAAGAGACTTGACATACTCTTTCCCGCCACTGTTTCGTTAATGTACTTATTGTTAAGCACTGGCATGTCGTCTCTCCTGTCGAGGTACAAAAAGCTTTGTGATAATCAAAAGGGACAATTTAATCAAACGCTGGCCAGGAAATTAAAGGGACAACTGCGTTCGAAGTTTTTTTTTTTTTTTTTTTTTTTGAAGCCTTCCCCAGTTGCAGAGAGTGTTAGGAAATATCAAAGTAGAAAATTAGACGACTCATAAATACTTGAAGGTGCAAAACATACATGACTTCCACAGCATCTTCTACAGACACGTTGCCAAGAATCATACGGGTCAGGTTTGAATGTGGGTGAGTACTTCGCACAGTTTTCCTGTGAAGAAAGAGCAAAGAAAGTCTTAATTTTTTTTCCTTTCCGCTTTGATGTGAATTGATCGTTGTGGTCTTTAATGCTGTTCCACTGCTACTATCGATCATTGCATTCCTTCTGGATTTTTGAAATCAAGAGTTCTTTTATAGATGAATCACGGTCTAATATCTCACTGTGTTGCGCATGGACTGTTGATTATCGAAACCTTTTCAACCTTTGAGTTAAGATTAATTTTGATTTATTACAGGGCCTTAATGGCGACGAAGGCATCCAGCATAACGACTTGCAATAACAGTAATAATGATCGACAGCTTATTGAAACAGAAAGATGATTACAACGGGTTTACCAGTCATGGACCAAAACCGAGTGGTTTTCAAAATAGGATCGCGTTTTAATATAGCAAGAATGATGCAATTCATAATCACTCGAAGCAATACTGAGGGATCTTAAGGTGCTGAAAGTCACTTTCCTTATACCCTTCATCCGGTGTTGCATTAGAGACTGCCCTGAAGGCTTCGCTATGCATTCTAAATTTTACAAATCGAGGATTTTGCTTCATCGCATTTTTGACCTGAGGTTACGATTAAATAAATAACTAGTAACTAGTTTAGAAACTAAAATTACTCTTACTTATTTCTAAAAGGAAGGTCGGAATTGTCTGCCGGATTTGTGTCATTCTTTTCCTTGTTTCCTCCTAAAGATCTGAAAGCAACAAAGTGTATATTCATTTCTAAATCAATATAAATGTAGACAAAAGAGATGATTCGATTGGTTTTGGGGAAACTTTTACCATTATTATGACATATGTTTTGCTATAGAACACTGAGATACAACTTAACCATCTCTAAATTAACAATGAATCGCTACTTGGCTGTTTATGACCAATAGTAAATCAAAACAAATACCAAAGCTAGCAAGAAGTAGTAGACCAGGGCAAAAAATGCCAAAGATGCTCTTTACTAATTTTAAAAATTTCTGTTTTGGTACGCTCTGTAGTGGGAAAATTATAGGGATAAATTTATCTATGTAAACATTTCAACTCATTGTGCTTCTTTTTTTTTTTTTATCTCAGCACATACATGATCATCTCATGCGAGTAAATCTTCAGAAAATAACACAATTTTACCTGCTCTCAGATTTGGAATTCCACAAGCAGATTTGACAAAGAATTATAAACGTTATAGTCTGATTGCATCGCATCTTCGAAGGTTGTGGTTTGATAATTTCATTGAGGTTACGACCGGACCTGAGTTCAACACAAAGGAAAAACATCATTTAAGGTTATAATGATACTAATTTACTAATTACCAGCTCATAACCACATGAGCAGAAAACTCCTTCATGCCACAAAACTGGGTCATGTTCAACTTGTCTTTACGATACATTACAGAGTGATAGCTGATAAACGAACAAGAAATAGTAAAGACACTTTGCATTTGACCAAGAAACAAAGTAAATACACAAAAACGAGAGGAACTGAGGCGATGGCATTAAAAGTTTTGGCTCAGAGAACAGTTATGTAAATAGATACTCTTAGAACAGATGTTCAGATGTTTGCAAAAAAAGTATGCAAAATCTTCAGATTTGCACACGAAGGTATGTTCGCGTAGGGGAGATCAGCTGAAATCAAAATACAGCAGAAAGTAAAGTTTTAAAAACAGAATCCTCGGTTCAACGTAGCTTAAACCGGAGCCACTTACACAGATGGTACAGGCTTAACGCTACTTTCAACTGAGCTACGAAGCTGTTTGCACGGCGTATTTTGATATACGAGCAGGTTCTTTGTCACCTCGAAGGAATTTTATCAGAAATGAAATTTGAAATATAGATCAACATATCTGAAGGTTAACTCTACCTCCCATATCAATACATAGAATCTAACACAAACAAGCCTTTTCACATAACGTTTTCATTAATCGGCAAAATGCGCGATACGGTCATATTTTGTCTGAGTGTACAAAGGTTACAATGCCCTCGGGCTTAGCAATGGAGCAAGCGTTTTCTTTCATTCATTTTGTCTTAACTATTACTACACTCCCACAAACTGCATCAAGTTTTGTTGAAACATCCCACTACCTTCTCAATAGAGTCCAATATTCCCATGACAAGCAGCAAAGAACAAAATGTGCTAAAACCTTTGCCGGACTTGCTGCACTGATTCTAATTATGCTTGTCCATTCATAGGGTATTAAGCAAACGAGAGAAATTCAATAAAGTGATCGAGAAAAATTCAGTTGGTCCGAAAATTGGCTTGAACTAGTCATTTCAGACTGGTAAAGAGAACCGTAACCTTTTTCAATTTCTTTATTTTGTTCACTTGCCTTCGGGCCTTCGTTACAGTGTCCTGAACTTGAAATACTCCAAAGTAAAAATATCTTTAAGATTCCGCTTTATGTTGTTTTCAGTCACAACATATTAATTTGTCGTCAGCAACAGACAATGAAACAGACGCTTATATAAACAGCCGAATGTCTACTGACGTTACAAAATGACTGAAAACAAACACCAGTGATTCTCCTCTTTCGCTAAATATGAATTCGTTTTGTTCTTTTCTTTTTGTCTGTGGCACAGACATATACGAAACGGACTAGAAAAAAAGTGATATAATCGGCACTCGCGTTACCTAAAATGTTCTTGTAAAGGATGTGGTGCGCAAAAATTATCAAATCAAATTTTCATAAGCAGACGATCGTCTGAGAAGTTTCTGAAAAATACTTCACGTCCCCCCCTGATTACAACAGTGGGAACAGGTACTGCTATCGAACACTCCTCTTTCAGCGGACGTTGTCGAGTGTTCACTTGAACTTTTTAGACATGTAAATCAGCGAACACGATCTTCAGTATTTGCTACTACGGTGCGAATTCGTTTAAAACAAGTTTGCTCACTGCTGGATATACTTATTCAAACCCTGAGGAATGTCTGACAGTTAAACCACTTACCAAATTCTTAGAAGTTGCTGTTGCACTGCTATCTTAAGGAAGATACAACCAAACACAGTATCCAAGCGGTCAATCTAATGTATCAGCTCATGTAATACATATATGACTTGAATTTATCATATTCGTCAAAATTTGGTCCAAGCGCCATAACGACACGCATGTTGTCTTATCACTCGCGCACCTTAAAGTGATCACCGTCCGAAAGCAACAATTTGACGATGACCAGTGCGTTATCGCACAGAAAATCATTGACAAACAGTGATCCTCAGTTTGACAAGATGTTCATGTCTAGCCTATGAGGATGGCTACATTCGAATTCAACATTTTAGGTGTTTTATTTATGTTACTTTTAATGATGCATTTCAACTATAGGCACGTTTAAAGACAAATGAGTCAACACGATGAGGTCAACAAGACAACAGGCAAAGTACTTTTGGCAAAAAAACATCTCATTAAGATAACTATTGCAATCATTAACTAATCACATTTATGTTAGGTGAATGTCTTGTAATGATTACACACGCGCTGCCTTAACGAGAAGAATCGAAATCACAACAGAATTGCTGCATGTCTTTAAACTGAGCCTAAAAAAACTTCCTTTAGCGAAACTACAGAAGTTGTTTGTCTTCGCATGTACGCATGTACACTAAAACGATAAACAGTGGATTTTTAGATCCTTGCTATCAGTATTCCTCTTAAGATACTTCTTGTAAAACTATGAGCGAGATGCCGAGATAAGCCGGTTATCAATATCACGAGTGTTTTTGTCTACGACTTGATCGCAGGTGAGCAGCGACTTAACTGGAAAGTCTTCTTTACCTTGCTATCTTAGAAAATTACGAGTTCAAAATGAGCGATGAAACCTAATTATGAACTTGCGCTTCCATCTACCTTCTTATTGGAAAACAATACCAGCTTTAGCAATTCGTTTACACAAACGCAAACAGCTACAAAACCGACCATTTCACTCTAAACGAGCCCTCGTTTTTTTCTATCAGCAGCAATTTCAAAGAGAGATGCGCAGAAGAACAACGAGCCTGACTCAATCCCGCAATTCAATTAAGAAAGCAAACCACAATGCAATAGATAAATTTAAAAAAGAGGAGTGACTTAAGAAGAATTATTTAAGGTAGAAAATGCTTGCTTTTGACTCAAAATTACTTATATACTTGCGTAAGTCAAAGACAGTTTCAGAGGAATAGATATAACATCGGTTCAATTGAACGACTGAAGTAAACTAAGTGAAACCATCTAGCTATTTAACGATTAGACTGAAAGCGATATTGCTGCTTGACTTGGGTGCCAGTATATAAATGAAGTATTCAAATCATTACGAGAAAGCTTAAATCTTTCCTGCAAGCTTATTTAGTATAATTATTTGAACGGAAAATTGCTAGTGTTAGTGTACAAAATACAGCCTTATAGAAGATCTTGAGGAATTCTCTTTCGGAACTCGGCTTTCGACATTATTATCAAATTAAGGGAATTCTGACCATTTCCGATGGTAATTGGCAGGAGAAATTAAGTCATGCAATGAAATGTCAGCTATAATCTTTTTTGTGGCTACGAAATTGCTTTGTAGGGCCAATCAAGTAAAAAAAAAAGTGTATCAGAAATGTGATTTTCCATTTTTTGTTTAACTTGTGTTTTAAATTGTTTCCTTTGTGGAAGAGCTGATAAACAATACAAATGATTAGCAATTTTTTCAAATTTTCGGCTTGTCCGGCGAAAATATCATTACTCAACATCTACTATGCTTTTTGAATCCTGATGCCTACTACATGCTCGAGCACCTTTGATAGTATGATTTATATTGAGTTCACTTTGTCGAAGACAACTGGTTCGTTAGCAAATTGATGTCAAACAAAGCCTCATCTTGTGGATCGTTGTGGCTCCAACACCTACACCATAAATCTCTGTTAAAAATCCTTTTTTAAGCTTATACATGAGAAGAAACCTTCTATCATAAGCTGATTTTTAGACGACTCCTTAGCAATTTTGATAATTCAGTTTAAAGAGATGTTCACCGTCTCCATTTCTTACTAGAAGTTATCATGCCAAAAGCTAAATCCGAGTGATTCAGTTATACTCTATATGCAAATGAAAACGTATATATTATGATTTTTTTACAGTAAAAACACAGACTATTTTCTCTTATCAATAACATCATGCGGACAAGTAAAATGCTTCGATGTCGACCATTTACGTGATTATAAAAGCGTGCTGTGATTTACAAAGTTCTCTCAGTCAAGTTTGTTAAAACCGACGACGACAGTGTTTATCACAAGCCATGAAAACCCGATAAAATGCTTTTGAACGAAACGAATAGCATGCCTTCATTTCAGAAGGCTAGAATGTAATAATCTTACCACAAGAAGTTGCAAAACACCTCTCGAAGATAAGCTTTGCGCAAATTCTTCCCTCGGTTCGCGTGCGTTTAACCTTTCCAATAGGGCAGAAATAGAAACTACATTTTTTGCCCTCGGCAAATTGTTCCGAAATTAAGTTATAAATTGTGTTTATACGTGATTAATTAGATTAGCCTTAATTACAGGGAGAGTGATTTGATTAAATCGTCTGTAAAAAGAGAGATTAGCGAAATAATTATGATCAATCTCAGTCTGATCTACTTTCGTACGGTAGACACCATAGGTTTAATATGAAGGAAAACAATTAACAGTTAACTGGAAAAGCAGGGCTTGAGAGATAAAACGAAGAGATAACAGCATTCTTTGATTTATTGTACTGCCTCTTAAAAAAATACTTGATCCGTGAAATATCGTTTCCGAAGTTTCAACAATTGTTTGTTAGAAGAATCTAAGATTAATGAACTTGACACTTTCGCTGATGTTTGGACAGCAATCTATCAAAGATTCCTACATCACGAGAATTTATCTTAACGGCTTCGGAATTTTCAGTTGCAGTTTCACAGCCAAGTTAGGTATCCAGAAATGAATCCACATAAAGTTTTAACTTTTTCCATTCTAATTTAGCTCAAGGCAATAATAATAAATACGTCATATTCAAGGTGCGATCTTGCTTTTGAAACGCGATGCACTTGTATTGTTTTGGAGAAAGGCCATAATATTTTCAAAGACACCGCACAGAACAGTTATGATCACAATTTTTACGAGATATATTTGCTACAAACATAAATGAAGAAGATTGTTAGAAACGAACAGATATAATAAATAGTCTGGGGTAATAGAAATGGGTGTTTAGGGGCTGTATATTTTCAATAACGATAACAGTTCTTCTTGGGTCAAATCCGTCACAACCTTCTCGAACTTGACAAGCGATAATATT